CTATGTGCCCCCCTCTTGAATCAAAATCTTATTCCTATATTTTGGCAGGTTGTTGCTTCTACAGAGGAACCGGTGAGAAGAAACCCAGCCCCCGAGAATCTTCGTGGATTTAACTTGAATCTCCCGCCTGCCAGCAGCAGTTTAATAATTCCTGAAACGATTGATGTGAATCTAGAACCAGTTGTTGGAGACAGCCACCCAGAGCCTATACTCTCTTGCAATGCCGCGGAGTTGGTTGGACCTGTTATTGAAGGGGCAAGTTCAATGAAGGCTGAGCAGGAAGTGAACTTCCCCATAACGGACAGCTTGATTGTTGGTTTTGACAGCAAAGGACAACCTGCTCTTCCAGCAACAACTGGAGGAGGAGGAGGAGACTCTTCAATTTCGTATCCAGTGGTTGATGTGTCCAATGTTGCGCCCGCTGTTGCACCTGCACCAATGCCTCCTCATATAAATGTGGTTGAATCTGCGCAGGGTGTCAACGAAAACAACAGTGAGGTGGAGCTGTCCCTCCTAAGGGAACTTGAGGGGATGGGGTTCAAACAGGTTGATCTGAACAAGGAGATATTGAGGTTGAATAAGTACGACCTAGAGCAGTCAGTTAATGATCTATGCGGTGTTTCTGAGTGGGACCCTATCCTTGAGGAGCTGGAGGAGATGGTATGTTAAAATCTTAAATGGGCATAATAGTCATTTTACATGTGAATTTCATCCGAGCATTAATCTCTTCCTTCCTGTGAATGAATACCAACCAGGGCTTTTCTGACAAGGAGGTGAACAAGGAACTCCTCAAGAAGAATGGTGGAAGCATAAAGCGAGTTGTCATGGATCTTATTACCCGCTAGTTAGTTATGAAGATGTCGTAATATGAACTTAGTAATATTCGCTCTGTTGAACACTGTATTTTGAATAAAACATAGCCATGTTATGTTATGTTATGTATGGCTTCTTTTCTATTATTATTAAGCGGGTGTTTACTGTTTAGTACATATCCTTTTAATAATGACCAGATGCCTGCGTCCGCCTTGCATTTGTTCGTTTTTTTTTAAGTCTTTGAGAGATGTTTAGTGCATTCTCGGTTTAGGAAAATAATACTCCTTTCGTCCCAAAATAAAACTTATTTTTGGCTGACAAAGTTCGATTAAAAGTTAATTTCAAGTTAATACAAGTAAAAATTGTTGTAGAATTAAAAATAAAAATTATATGTTAAAAAATTAAGTATTACAAAACAAGTGGAGACAGCCATATTGTATAGAAATCACTTTAAATAAGACTAAAACATAAAGAAAAGTACGGAGTACCAAAATAGGACTTCCTTCTTTTTCTCACTGAAATAAGACTTCACACTGTGGTAATGTGATTGTAATATGGTATTTTACATGTACACATTACTATACTTTTTGGTAATGTATATGACCATGTTTGATGATGTATATGTATTTTAAGTCCAATTTTGGGAATAAAAACATGGAAGTCTTATTTTGATAGATTTTTAATGTTTTAGTCCTACTTTGGTCTTTCTGAAGTTATTTTCAAATCATTTTATATGAAAAATAGTATAGTATAGAAAAAATAAAAATTACATATTTAAAATGTACATGAAAAGATCTACAAAATTGGGTATGACATTCTATGTTATTTTATCAAATAGGAAACAAAAATAGACCAACAAAGTAAATGAAATTTAACCATGTGAATAGTAAACAAAAACTTTATTGTTGGACGGTGGGAGTATAAGGAAAGTAGAATTAGTTTGACATGTGAATAATAACCGAGAGTTTTATTTTGCGACGGAGGGAATATTAGGTTTTGGCCGAGTGGATGACACTAGTATTATGATGTCAATATAGCATGGTCCCTCGTTTTAATTCTTGTATTTGTGTATGTTTGGAAACATAGAAAATGGTTTTTGTCACACATCCATCTATATATCAAAGTCATCAATTCTTATTTTTTTTATACCTGTTGACCAAATATAGAAAGAAATATTCACACTAATAATCTCACCTTTGAGCAATAATAAAAGAATTGTAACTAATATTTGATTCTGGTTTTGTAATTTTACGAAGTAGTTATTTAGATGGTAATGAAAAGCTTATCTTGAGAACTAAGATAAGATTAATAGGAGTATTTTTTAAAGGTTAACAAAGTTGCAAAATTAGAGAAGTGTGATATTTCAAATTAATTATTTTTGAGCGCCTAAAATTCCAAACAACATACAAAGTACAAAAAATCTTCCTTGAAATACACCGACAAATACATACACACACACAAACTACTTTTTATTATTTTTATTAGTGTTTAAAAATATCATTCTCGTATCTTTAAATGATTTGATAGCATTCTATTTTCTAGGATTTCTTTCTTTCTCAACAAATTTGATTTTTTTTCAGTTCTATCAACTCACAGAAATTGTATTTATACATAAAACTTTGAGAAATAGAAACAAATTTGATCATTTTATGAAAAATCATTGATGTAGAAATAAAAACAAAGTTTTAATTTTTTTTAAAAAAAAAGGTGATGTTAAATAGACACCCAAACACTTCATTCCAACAATAGAAATGGACCAGTACGTACGCCCAAATCATAAATGTTTTAATGCAAATCGCACATATTTTAATGTAGATCCGTCATTTACATACTTAGATATCATGGCAAATTATATTATACACCGCCTTAGAGATAGGTACAGCCGGCGTTTAATAGGGCGAAAAAAAGAAATCCACGATGAAGGAGGCTGGCCGATCGAAAGTTTGCTAGAAGCCGTGCGGATCGATGATGATGTGCGAATTTGCTCTTCGCATTTGTATCGATTCTTGGGGTTTTGCGATGATGCGGTGATGATTCTGCAGAATTGAAGAAGCTTTTGGGATCTGCAGTTAGGGTGGTATGTAGTTGAAGAATGAGTACTAGGCTATGTGGGGATGTGTACTACTAGATTTTAGAATGTGGATTAAGTTATTCGTAAATAAATATTATACAAATGTGTTAAAATGAGTCCTACGTTTTTTTTTGAATGAGTAATATGGTTTTTCAAAATGAATGCTTATGTTGATGCGAGAATGAGTACTACTTTACTTCCGAATGAGGCCCCGTTCCGTTCAACTTATTTTTTTCTTATTTTTTCTTATTCTTATTAAAATCAGATCAGATCACACCAGGTCAGATCAGACCACATCGAATCAGATCAGATCAGGACTTATTAAAATCAGATCCCATCAAGAATTATTATTATTATTATTATTATTATTATTATTATTATTATTATTATTATTATTATTATTATCATCATCATCATCATTATTATTATTATTATTATTGTTCTTAAAAATGAAAAAGAATAAACTTTAGAAATAGGTTAAATAGAAAATTGAGAAAGTAATCCTTAATTATTAGACGTCGGAAAAATTAGTTTTAAAATACATTGACAATGTCAATCTAATTCTACTTCTAAAATATATTTTTATTGCTACTTGTAATTTGAGTTTCTAAAGTTTTGATCTTTTATAAGGATGAGATATTTTAATAAAAATACTATCTCTTCTATANGTCGGAAAAATTAGTTTTAAAGTACATTGACAATGTCAATCTAATTCTACTTTTAAAATATATTTTTATTGCTACTTGTAATTTGAGTTTCTAAAGTTTTGATCTTTTATAAGGATGAGATATTTTAATAAAAATACTATCTCTTCTATATATTGATTATCTAAATTTAATTACTTTTTAATGTATATCTAAATTAAATATTTATTCTAATGTATATATGAAGTAATTATTAAAATATTAACTTAATATTCTAATTTCACAAAAAAATAATCATAAAATAAAAAATATTATTACATTATAATATGAATGATTATTCTAATATATGAATTAACTATTTTTATTTTATTAAAAAATAATCATTAAATAAAAAATATTGATTATATTATAATATGAATTATCATTACAATTTTCAAACGTTGTTATAAAGTCAAATCAAATTATTGATTTGAAATTTTAAATTAAATCATAATTAATCAGATCAGACCAGATCAGATCAGATCCAATCAAATCAGATCAGATCAGATCCAATCAGATCAGATCCAATCAGATAAGATCAGATCAGATTCAATCAGATAAGATCAGATCATATCAGATCAGATCAGATCAGAATTTATTAAAATCAGATCAGATCAGAAAAAATAAGTTGAACGGAACGGAACCTCAGTACTACCTGGATATACTTATCTCTAGGTACATCCGAATGTACCACATGCACTCTTACGTATGATATGACACTCATCTTACGCATCTTTTCCAAGTACTTGAGCATCCAATTTCTAATACTCCATAATTCCATGATGCATTTTGAAACTATTTTGAACCTCTTATATGCATTTGATAATTCCAAAATGCTCATTTAGTCATTTTATTGCTTAAAGAACTTATTTTTCGTTGTTAGTAACACTTCCAATCCATGAAAAGATAAACATGAGATCTTTAAATTAAATTGTAGAAAATCCTAAATTATTATTTTTACACATACTCAAAGCATGCAAATTATAAAATTAATGTATGGAGACACTTCTAAGGTAACATTATACTCCATCTCAAAGTTATGGTCACACTTCAAAGAATGTGTAAAACCACGTCACTTTCAAAATCATTTTATTTATTCATACAAATTGATACATAACTAAAATTTACAAATTACATATTCACAAAATACAACAAAAGTTTTACACATAAACAAATGTTATAGAGTCTAGAATAATAGCTATGACGGTATTTCTAGGACGAAGAAAGTACTATAGAGGAACCTATAGAGGAAAGTAGATATGATTCGGTGTACAATATATAATTTGTCTTGAAAAATACGAGGAAAAGAGAGAAAAACCAAAAGCCGAGAGACAAGTAATAGGTTATCACATAAAAATGTAGATTAGGACTCTTAAAATCGATGTAGTCTAAATATCTTTTTCTTAAATAATTACGGAATACTCCGTACAAGTCTAGAAGTTTCACGTTTACTGATACACAAATTAAATAATTAATATCTTCAATTCAATTTTATAAAAAAATCTAAACAGCGGATATGGCTAAAGTTTATATGGAGACAAGCATGGCTATACTTTAGCGTACATGTAAATTACAAAAGACGATAAAATACGAGTGTTTTTAGTGTAACAATGCCCGTTGCAATCTTTTAAGAACGGAGCAAATATATGCTACAAGGGTTACAACAAATTGGGCAACATGTCCATACATGCGTGTGGTGTGATCAAATATCATTTCATTCCTTATTTTTGTTGACAATTATTAACGTAAAAATTGACATATTCTCCCCACTCCAACCGCACGATCCCCTTCACATATATAGCTCGAATCGACCAAAGTACATCTCACAATTTATGTTGGTCCCATATTTGAAAGTGGTGCAAGTAAATCCTTCTTCACGTAGTTCTTTCTATATGGGTTTTCACCATATTGGTATGACTTCTGCCGCCAAATAAGTCATGAACGATTATGCAAAATATTATCAACGAATAAATAAAAGGACGTGCTGAATGGAAGATTGATGAAATTACAACTTCACATGCATGGCATACCTGTAGTGTTTTTATTTATAGAGGGAACTCTTTCTGGAGAACATCAAGATTTCGTGAGTCACAGGCATTGACCATATCATTCCGTGATGCACAACTGAAAAATGTGACCATGAAATTGTTATTTCAAGGACTGTCCAATGTAGTTATGCTTTTTGTTCATGCGATATATGTACCTCAAAGATATTCTCAGATATTGCCACGCATTATCAGCCTTCGGATTCATTCCTAATGCACGGACATAATAACGAATGGATTCCTCGTGCATACCCTGAATTTTTACATCCTAACAGTTTTAGTCATTTCCACTACGTCTCAGAAGAATGAGTTGTCATACAAGCAAAAATAGAGTACCTGGTTAGCATAACTAATGCCCATGTTCGCCCATGCCCGCACATAATTTGGTTTTAAATCAAGTGCCTACAAAAAAGAGATCATGCATAACGAGCCCACCCAAAGCACTCAAATCTTTTTTGTCTATTCTTATGGCAAACAATGTTTTTTAATCAGTGAGCATTGATGTTACTCTCAGCATAAAGAAAGCTTATACATTGGTGCTTACCATCTAGAACAATTGCAGTTCATATATATACATACATACATATATATATATATATATATATATTTTATCAGAATTAAACCAAATTCTATTTAGCTTGAACATAATAACACCCATAGCAGAGGCAAATATGGGGAAGAGTTCTTGATAAACCGTACCAAACAGTCATAATGAAACACACATACATACATACATACATACATACATACATACATACATATATATATATATATATATATATATATATACTCCCTCCGTTCCCCTAAGATGTTCTCATTTTGACTTTTGGTAGTTTTTAAGGAGAGTTGAAAAAAGGTAAAAGTTTACCATAATACCCTTAATGAAAAATGGGTGGAGTGTATTAAATGAGGTGGGTGAGGTGTAATAAATAAAGTAAGTGGGGGTAGTTGTGGTATTTTAATTGTTAAAAAATGAAATGAGAAGATCTATTGTGGACAAAGAAAAAGGGTTATTGAGAAGATCTATGAGGGACGGAGGGAGTATATATATGTATGTATGTATGTATGTATATATACCGATGGCTTCTCTCTCTAAAACCCTTCCCTCCCCCCTCCCCCCACCCCCCAAACGACAGAGGAACCACCGGCGTCAACCCGAACTGCAGCTACTCCAGCAACCATAGCCGGCACTCAGCACCTCCCCACTCCACGTTCGCATGCTCCATGGCCAACTGCTCCCTCCTCTCTCAAAGCCTCCTCAACCCCCTCCACTTCCTCTCACAAAGGCTTCCCTGCAATTACCTTCACTCCGGAAGAAATCAAAGTTCTTTCCTCTCCCTACAAGTTTTCTCTTGTTGGCAGATTCCCCAAAAGTCGGCCATCTCTCTCAACCATCGAAAAAATCCTTGAATGTATTGGCTTCAACGCAACCTTTACTGTAGGAGTTCTTCCAACCTCACATGTACTCATCACCTTCGATAACCCGGAAGATTACAGGCGATGCTTTGCAAAACGGTTCTGGAATATCCAAGGTTCTCCAATGGAGGTCACCAAATGGAGTCCAGACTTCAAAAGTGATGGAGAGAGTCCCATCTTCCCAGTCTGGATCTCTCTTGAACAGCTACCGGTCCATCGGCACGATAGAGATGCCTTACATTCCATTGCCAACATTTTTGGCAGACCTCTCATGCTAGATGCCTCAACCTCAGCAAAAATCCAACCGTTTGTAGCCCGATTCTGTGTTGAGCTCGACGTCACCAAGGAGACACCATCCAAATTCTTCATCAACCACGGTGGAAGGGGATTCTGGCAACCTGTCATTTATGAACAGCTGCCAGAATACTGCACACACTGCGAAAAATCCGGCCACTCCTTAGGTGGATGTGGCAAGTCCAAAGGAATCCTCCCCAAGCCAAACACTTTGGACAAAAATTCCAAATAGCTGCATGAAGGGCTGTCTCTCAATGGTCCCTCCAAAACATCCCCCCTTCAGGACATGCAGAATAATCCACAGCATGCCACTCGATGCCCCAATGCCAATAAGGTAACGACAACTGCCTCTGACCCTTCAACTTCATCTATTCCAATTATTGACACTTCCCCCATCCCTACTCCCCAACCCGCACCCCCTCCCCCAACACTGGAACCTAACCCCATCAATGATTCCTCTGACCCTCTCCCTCCTGATCTCAGAACCATGATCAACAACCTTCCTTTCACCCAAAAACCACCAAAATACCCTTCCCACCCCCTCGTTGTGAACTCAGTTTCACCGAGCAAAAAGAATTCAGAGATTTCCCCTATGATTCAGATACTGAATGCAACAAAAAACATAAGAAAAATAGAGACACCATGGACAGATGGACTCTTCATCCTTCAAACCTTCCTTGAGTCCCTCTGTCGCACGCATGATTTCTACCTCACAAAATCCCTTAGCACTACTCCCCCTACTCCTTTTCCTGAAACTCCCCCACAAGGCCATGCTAAAAACACTCACCTCCTCCCCAAATCCAACATGGTCACTGGATTCCAAGCTCGTGCCTCCTTAGCACTAAATTCTCAACTACCCTTCCCCTTATGAATCTTCTCTCCTGGAATACTCGTGGACTCACCTCCTCGTCTTCATCAACTCACTCTTCATCACAAAATTAATCTCAATAGCATCCTTGAACCCATGACTCATTCTTCCAAAATCAAACCTATCAGCCTTTGTCTCAATATGATTGGGGTCCGTCATGGACTTCAGAATAAAGCTTGGATTCCATGGGACACAAACTGCCTCACCCTTCTCTCTTCCATCAGCAAACCATTCACTTTCTCTTCATCCACCTACCCATGCAACAGAAATTTTGGTACACCACGGTCTACGGACTTCACACTAGATTGGCAAGGCAGACATTATGGAATGAACTCCGTGAACATTCCAACACCTGTGATATCCCTTAGATTGTTGGAGGGGATTTCAACATAATTGCATCCATTGAAGAACACAAGGGTCCCATAGCGCCACGCTTAGACAGCATGGATGACTTCTTAGCATGCATGCAACTTAGTGATCTCAGTCAGCCTTGCACCACAGGAGGGCCCTTCACTTTGTGGGGAAAAAGGCCAAAAGGAATGGTATGGAGATGTTTGGACAGATTCCTACTAAATAGCAAAGCTGATTGCCTTTTCTCCCAGGTAGCAGTGAAAATCCTAAACAAATGCCCCTCAGATCATTGCCCGATCCTATTCACCTCATTCTTCAACCAAGCCTCTTCCACTCCCAAGCCCTTCCGTTTCCTTAATCCCTGGACTACGCACCATACCTTTCTTCCCACCCTCAAAACCTATTGGGAGGCCACCCATACGGGCAGAGGTATGCTTGGCCTCTATATTAAGCTCCATGTAGCGCAAAAAGTCCATTCCAGGTGGAATAGGGAAGTATTTGGTAACATCTTCAACTCAGTATCCGAAGCTGAAAAGCATTGTGACACCCTTGAGGCCACCTATAATTCCCAACCCACTGAAAACAACCTAACCAATTGGCAAGAAGCCAAAGCCAGACTGACAAAATGCTACATCAATGAGGAGTACTGGAGGCAAAAGGCAAACATCAAATGGATCGCTAAAGGCAACGCTAACACTTCTTTTTTCATGCAGCTTGCACGTCTAGATGGCGTAAACAAAGAATCAATTCCATCACTAATGCTGAGGGAAAAGCACTTACTGAATCAGGCTCCATTGTTAAGGAAGGGAGGAAATTCTATGCTGCTCTTTTTGAGCACAAGGCAACATCCGGACATGAATACTTCACCAACAACATTCCCAAACTTGTCCAAAATTCCCATAATGAAAGCTTCTGCACCCTACCAGCATTGAGGAGGTCAAACATGGTATCTGGTTAGTGCAGTTCAGGAATATTTCCTGGGCATATCTCCCCCAAAAGCTATGAGCATGTCTCATGTTATCCTCATCCCTAAACCTGTCCACCCTGCGAAATTCGGAGACTACAGGCCTATATCCCTTACCAAATTTATCTCTAAAGCTGTCACTAGGATCCTTGCCACTCGTTTGGGCTCCTTCCTTAACCTCCTTATCTCAGATGAACAAGGTGGCTTCGTTAAGGGGAGAGATATCCAGGACCATATCCTCCTGGCCCGTGAAATCTTCCACCATATCAAACGTGATAAAGTTCATGGAGGCAACGTTGCAATGAAGCTGGATCTCACAAAAGCATTTGATAATATCTCTTGGGAGTTAATCACCAACATCCTCACTGCATTTGGATTCAGCAACTTCTCGACCAAACTAATCAAGAACTCCATCCACAATAATCACATCTCCATCATGATTAATGGTGACCTAACCCCTTCATTCCAGCCTAAAAGGGGTGTCAAACAAGGTGACCTATCCCCATTAATCTTCATATTGGCAATGGAAGGATTCACCAGAACCCTCAACTCCCTCTATAGAAACAAAAAGCTCATCCCTCTTTCCACAGGACGTCATACCACCTTCAATCACCTTACCTTGGCAGAAAATATTCTAATATTCACCAATGGCAGTGTCTCTAACCTTGTCAAGATTAAGAAGTTCCTGGAAGCCTTCCAAGAAGCCTCTGGCCTGGAGTTCAACACTTCAAAATGCAGTATGATCCCAGGCAAATCATGCGCCAATGTCTCCAGGCGTCAAAGCCTCATCCTTAATATACCTATTATACCCTTCCCATTGATTACTTGGGTGTCCCAATTTATGTAGGAATCAATCGCCTTCCTTATTGCATGAAATTGCTCTCCAAATTTGACCAGAAGCTCAGCAGCTGGAGATTGAACAACCTTTCAAAAGCTGGCAGACTTGTTCTCCTTAAACATGTCCTCAACACCTTGCCCCTGCATCATATTGGCTCCTCCACCCTAAAGCGTTATACGGCTAATTAACACTAAGCTAAGTCGTTTCTTTTGGGGAGCCAACAAGGAAATGTGGGTTGCTTGGGACACCATTTGCACCCCAAAGGAAGGAGGTCTTGATATACCCAGCCTGGAAATCCTACAAAAAGCATACGGCTGTAAGCTTCGGTGGAAATTTAAAACACAAAACTCCCCTTGGGCTCAATATATGAGAAAGGTCTATCAAAGGGAAGGCACTTTCACCTCTACGATCATCGACTCACCTGTCTGGAAACGGATATGTGCTCAACATGCACTCTGTGAAGAACACTATAACCCGGACGAAGCCCCTCCCTGGGACCTTGATATGGAAGGTAAATTCTCCATCAAAAGGGTCTAAAATGCTCTTAGTAATCATGACACTTCATGCATCACCCACTTCCTCCCTTGGCAAAAATCAAAAATCCCCAACGTACCCCTTTTCCTTTGGCAAACCCTACACAAAGCAACTCCTTGCCCCAACATACTAATGTTGTGCAAGGAATCCTCCCAAGTCTGGAACCACTACACCAATATACTAGGAGGCCCTTATGTTATGAACTCCAGTCTTGCCCACAATCTCCTCAACTGGTGGCTTTCCTCCCCCAAGGAAGACCCACATAACCAGCTCAACCATCTCAAGCAGGTCACCCCAAGCATCATCACTTGGACCGTTTGGAAAACCTACAACTCTTGCACCCAAGAAGGAACCCCCTTCCGGAAAGAAACCATTACTCATACCATCAATCATCTCCTCTCTAATTGGTGTGACTCTCACGCAAAACTCTTCACTCCAAAAATCTTCAGGAGAACTGGCACTAAACCCTTCAAACTGGTACGATGGATCCTCCGTGAAAAATACAAACTCAAGCTAAACATTGATGGTAGCGCAGGTAGACACGCTTATGGGGGAGGAGCAGTCATGCGCAATCATATGGGCGACATCCAGATGGCAATGGCCTTCCCCCTCTCCCATGGCGATGCTATGCAGATTGAAACTCTAGCAATGAACTATGCTCTATCTTTCAAAACCAACAACATCATTGTTGAAATCGATTGCCTCGGTCTCCTCAACTTCCTCTCCTCATGCACCAACGATGACCTCCTCCTCCATATCAAAGAGAAGGTTTACAGCAGGAACCTTCAACTTCATCACACCCTACGTGAGGCACCTGAGCTGCCAATGCCTAGACCTGGCAAATCAGAACCGGAACCGATTACCCGAACCGAAGTATCCAAAACCGAAACCGAAATGATCCAAAAATGAAGACCTGATCTATAACCGAAAACCCGAAATGATCGGAACTGAACCAATACCGAACAAAACAATAATTCATATCCGATTTAAATCTGAAACCGACCATATCCGAACCGACCCGAAACCGATTAGATCCAAAACGGATAATACCCGAAAGGGCCAAAACTCATAAAACCCAAAACCGATTAGATCCAAAACCGATAATATGCGAAACCGATTAGAACTAAAACCGATAAAATCCAAAACTGTGTTTGCCTTTGAATAAGTATGCTATGTTTTTTAAATTTTTACTTTTACTTTACCATATGAACTAATTACATTACTTGCCCATTCCCTCATAAAATAGATTATCATCTTTTTAAAAAATTACAAAATCTCATGTCTTAAATAATTTATTATACTTAGAAATTGAAAAAAAGTTATACATATAAAATATGGGATGAATACTGTGAACCAACTATTTTGTTATTAACAAAAGTAAAGGTAATAAAATATTTGAAAAACAACGTCAAGCATCAGTTGAATGAAATTAGGTCTGAGAGTTGAATGTGGAGTAAGAAAAGTGTTAAGATTAAGGAGGGAAAGTGAAAAAGAGTGGGGAAACTTTGAGCTTTAGGAGGGAAGACTAGACACGAAAAATGAAGTCATTGATTAGATATTATGTTAAAAATACAGTACTAATTTCAGTTCTAAGTTACAAAATCTAATTAAAATAATCTTATTTTGAAAAAAAACTCCTTCCATCTCAGGAAGAATGCTACATAACACAAAACAAAAAAAATTTTGAGTTTTTTTATTAAAACTAAATTTTAAAATCAATTTAATTATATTAATTTTATATCATAATTAAATACTCCCTCCGTCCCCCAGTATTTATCCACTTTCATTTTTACACACCATCCAATTCACTTCTTTAATCCATTTTATCTTGTAATTTGTATATTAAAAAATTATAGAAATTATATATTAATAATCTATATGTTAAGACAAATCAAACAAGATCACACATGACTATATTTAGGTTTACACATTGAGAGAATTTGATAGTCAAAGTGCTTAGATGAACAGTTCCAAAAGTCAAAACAGGACAAATATTGGGGGACGGAGGGAGTATAATTTTTCATAATTTGTAGTCCAAATTTGTAAAATATGATTAAAAAGTCAAAAAAGAAAGTTTACTTAGGGTAGAGATAGTATAATTAGAAAAAATATAAAATAATATGAGGTGTTGAATTGATGATAGAGTGATCACTGTGATAAAAACAAAAAAAATTAACATGGATAATTAAATTTTTATTAGAAAATAATAAATATCCAAAATGTATTTGATCGAAATATATCCGAACTGAAACATATCCAAAATCGAAATATATCCAAACCGAACTAGATCCAAAATCGAAATATATCCAATCCAAATTGTATCCGAACAAAAAACTATCCAAACCGATTAATATCTGAATCGTATCTGAATTGACTCGAAACCGAACCGAGACCAAAAAATGTATAGAGCCGAAGCAAATCCAAACTGAAATTAAACCGAACCGACTATAACATATATCCGAAAGATATCCAAACCTAAAAAATCCAATCAGGAACCGATCGAGTTAAACCGATTGTCCCCTCTACCAGTGCCCTGGCAAAATTGGAAACGACCCTCACTCATTGTATTTTCTTTCACAACATGAACTCCCTCCCCCCCTCTAATTCGGAGCATTTTGTATATGGATCCTATTGTACCCTTCATTCGCACTTTTTTATACAATAAAAACCCTCCTTTTTAATACACACACACACACACACACACACACACACACACACATATATATAGACACACACACACACACACAAATATACATATACATACATAGGGCTGTCAACGGATAGCCGAAAATCCAATTACCGTCTGCATTTGAATCCGTTTAAAGAGGAAATATCCGCATCCGTTTTAGACGAATATTATCCGTATCCGATTAAGTATATCTGATTACTAAACGGATACGGATTTGGTAATTGTATATCCGATTCGTTTAAAATCCGATCCGAATATGCATCCGTTTAAATAACCATTTATCCGAACATCTGATCCGTTATAAATAATTTTTCCTAACTTTTTATGTTTTTAATTTGTTTCTCTATTGATATTTGAAAATATAAGACATTTTTATATACAAAATAAATGTGTAGACACATAAAAATATATACAGACATATAAAAATATGTGTATATGTGTAGTGTGTATATCTTTTTATCAGATGAAGTTATCGTAGAATATCATAAATCATGAAAACAAAGAAAATAATTATCCCATACCAAGTTATAGTTGATTTAATAATAGTTTGACTTTAATTTAATTTAAAATTAAAGTATTCTTTAATTTGATTTTAAAAACTGGAAACGGATACGGATATATCTAATATCCGACCGATATCCAACGGATGCGGATACGGTTTTGATTTTTAATATTCGTCAAGATCCGTATCCGAATTCGATATCCGACAAAAATAAACAGATATGGATTTGGTAATGGCACATCCGGTCTGATTAATATCCGTTTACACCCCTATACATACATACACACACACACACACACACATATATGATTGTGGGGGTCCCATAAAAGGTCATCAAGAGTTTACCTTCTGATAAGCAAATATTGCATCAGCACTCTGAACACTGTTAGCCTGTGTTGCACCAAGCTTATTCCAAAGGGAATAGTCTCGTGGTTTGAGTTTCAAAGCAGTCTTAAATGATTCTATAGCTTTATCATACTCCCTTGACAAGTTGTATAATACTCCAAGTACTATATGTACATCAGCATCCTCAGGAGCCATTTTAGCAGCATCATTAAATAATCCAGCAACCTGTATGTGCCACACAATAAAAACCAGAAAGCATATGAAAATTAAAAAGGCACAAAGGACTATGGGTTCAAGTACATCTTAAGATAAAGAAAAGTTTAAACAACCAGCATTACATCAGCATAATATAGAGAATCAGGTGGATCTGCAGGGGCAATGCTTCCGTACTTAGGGTGATTGCGTAACCAACTGTACAAATACTTCAATGCAGGTGCTTGCTCCAGTTCTGGTCATTTTAAGATCACAGAATTACTGAGTTCTCTAATTTTCTCCATAGCATTCATTGCTAGGAAGAATGTAACAAATACAGTCCCTCTGTCCCAAGTATGACACATTTGGCCATTTGGGTGTTCCATGGTTTAAAAGTAAATATAGGGGATGAATGTTGTCTTACAATCTTAAGCTTTTAAAAAGGCGAGAAGTAAGACCTAATGCGGGGTAAAGGTTGAGAGGATAGTGTGAAAGTAACGGGTTAGTGAAGTCTAAATCAGGGAAGTGAACATATTTTGGAATGAGCTTTATGTGTAACAATATGGGACAGAGGGAGAGGGACTATCATAATTGCCATTCATATTCTAGTCGTACTGTCTTCATAACTCACCATTTGTATGGCTCACCCCAAGTGCAAGGAGAACTTCCAAGTTCATAGGATCTGCTTCATGTGCACGCATCATGGCTGCAATAGCCTGTGACAGGATAATAAACCAAAAAGAATACAAAACTTTCACTATAACAGGCTAACAGCTAAAGCTTGTATTAAACTGACCCAAAGTTTCGACAACCCCAACCTTGCCCAACTCAAAAGTAGAGAGGCTGTTTACAAGAGACCCTCGGCTCAAACAGCACGTAAGAAAAAAGATAGCAGAGGGCAAATATAGCAGATATAGCATAAAGCACACAGAGGCAAAGAACAAACTAATTAAATGAAGCAAAAACAGGGAAAGCAGAGAGCAAAAGGCATACAAAGCACACAACAAGAGCATAAACTACCACTTAGCCCAAAGCGCCTATCCGACTACCCTAATCTTAGTTCTCCAGATGCTCCGGACCATATCCTCAACAAGGGCAAGAAGTCCTAGATCCCGTCTAATCACCTCCTTCCAATTCCTCCTAGGTCTACACCTTCCTCTACTCCCACCAACCAACGCAAGCCTATCGCATCTCACGATGTGAATGTAAATCTATAATATCAGTTTTGCAATGGGACATGACCATAGCCAATATCTCAAATCATGTGTCATCTCATTGTATTTCACATTCAAATTGATATGACATATGGTTATCTGGTTTTAGAATATCATCGTATTATTCCTTATTTCAAATAAGCATCTAGCATTACACTTTAGTGTTGTAGAAAAATAGCTCTAAGTATGGTTGTATGGTAGAATCTAGAGTATGGCATCACTCTTATGATGAAACCTGTTAAGGGCATTGCTGATTGCCCAGGTCCAAGGTCTTGGAGAGATACCTGTCATAGATGAGGAAGAACCCCTCCCTAGCCCATGGTTGAAGAGGAAGAACTTCAGAATTTAGATATTTTATTACATGACTAATTAGGATTTAGGAAGATCTATTAAATTGCTTCAATAATAATTTTTTAATAAATCTAAGTATAAATAGGCAAAACGTCACAAGAAGAGTCCTGCCCTAACCATATTAGGAAGCATAAATCCTTATTAGGCAACCTGTAGGAATATAAAATAGCAATACTAGTCACGAGGCCAAACATTTCATTTTTCAGTGTACTCATTCAATTCCTTGATCAACCATATAATGATCATTGGGAATTGGGATGCTCCTATATGAATTCTACTGTACATCAAGAAAACATCAAGGCAAGGATTACTCTATGAAGACAACGGCCATAGCAATACTCTGTGATATTGTGATGTGACAGGGCAGCTTATCTGATACATAAACGATCCACATTGTATTGCATTTTGGTTGGTGGAAACTTAATATGGAGTATTTTGGAGGAAGGCAAAGGCAAAACAAGAAATGTGGCAGATCAAGGGCAGAGGCAGAATACCAACAAATGGGAGAAAAGAACCATTTCAGTTAATGCATGATAATCAAGTAGCAATACATGTTGCATCAATTCAATATTCCACTAGAGGATCAAGCACAATGCAGTTTATTGTCGCCACTTTATCAGAAAAAAAGAAGATTGTACCCGGACAAATTGCTACTCAGTATTCAGCACAGATGAGTAGCTTTCAAACATCTTGACAAAGTCACCTAGAGGACCTAGAGTAAAATACATTTGTAACAAACTTAAAGCATATGATCTACATGCTCCATCTTGAGGAAATATGACATCATCATAAACCTCATCACATATGACATCATCACATGTAATACTCTTGTATCCAATATTGATCTGGAATAATCTATCAAATACACATTTATTCCCATTTTTCACAGTTTTGAATTATTTCATGCTCCCTCTGTCAAACATTCCTGATTGCTTTTGGCACGATGTTTAAGAAGGATGAAACTGTGGTTGATATTCATGCAGAGGAGAGAAATAATATGAACCACATTAATTCTTTCCTCAAAAGAAAATGGGAAATTTATTGTGTACTTCCAAAAAAGGAAAATGAGAACTTAATTTTGGTCAAAGGGAGTGTTTAAAAAAATTGTGTAGCCATGCCATCAAAATCATACAAAGTTCTCCACTGCTCCATAAAACAAGTACATGGCAGCCTAGGGGATGCTTAACAAATCTTATGTTAACACACCCCAATAAAACAAGGTTTCTTATTGAGCTGTGAAAGAACTATCATATGATGGTTGATCATTGATGGATAGCATGTGCTCTCAGTTACCACATTCCCACCAACCACCACAGTTTTGAGCACATCACTGCACATGTCATACTCACTCCATGTCTTCTCATTAACAGGATGTCTATTCTCAATGATGATGTCTCTTATTTTATGTTATTCCCTACCAACGAGTTGTTTCCTTTCCCAATCAAGTATTTAGTTTTGTTTGTTTTCTTGGTACTTGGTGTAAGGTCTGTGTACACACTACACACACCCTCCCCAGACCCTACTTGCGTGGGATCCAACTTGGTTGTTGTTGTTGTTGTTGTTTTCTTCATGACAGCACTAGGACAACCAAAAATATCAGTCTGATCTATCAAGTGTTTCTTTCTTGGGCATTCTCGTCTTCATAAGGGATATTGGTGTTATTCTCAGTTTGTAAAAGACATATTTTTGGGCAAATATCACATTCAGTGAGTCATTCTTTTACTATATACTATCTACATACTAAACATGACATGCCATGTTTAGTCCAACACATAGATTTCAGTATACCTTTAGGCAACCAATCGAGCTTCCAAGGAATCAATGTTACCATCAGGACAAAGTTGCTTGACCATCTATGTATAAATGCAATGGCATTCTACCATAATCTTACGAGTTGGGAGTTAACGTGCTTATAACCAGCTCAGAAGAGCCATCTATGTTCAGTCAACAACGTTGCCTCCACCCCAGATTTGGACGTCTCATAAGTATTTTGTTGGATTGACATATCAAAAGGTGTGAGGAAAATAAAAATGTCAAACAACTACACGACGATAGCTAAGAAAAATGTATATGGGGTGATTGTTTGAAGTAGAACGTGAACCTTTTTCCTAAGAGTAATTAAAAAATCTGCGGAGAGTGAAAAGTGTTAGATCTGCAGTAGATAGAGAGAATACTAGTGTTCTAACACTAGCTTGTACTACTTTGTGATTAAAAAAACCATCTTAAGCCATAGTATTCAACCGATTGGAAAAGACAGTGGGAAATAGTTAGCCCAAAGGTAACCACTAATTGCGGTGTTGATCATACAAGATAAACCCTATAAATTACTTTTCATTTATAAAAAAATTCTATAATGTCATCTTATCCCGATTATGAAAGGTTCCTTAACTAAGATTTGTAGACAGTCCCACTTTCCATTGAGTAACTTGTTGGTGAATCTATTATCATCACTAAGGTTTGGAAGGTTAGCATGAGTCTACCTGTTGTTAATCACTTTATCTTTTTAAGTACACCTTAGTCTAATCTTTGCTCTTTGCTACTCCCTTTTTCGTGCTATGTGCTTTAGGTGCTCAACTTGTTGCCTGTGTTACTTGAGCTAGGGGTTTCTTGGAAACGGCCTCCCTACTTTGGAGTAGGGGTAAGGTCTGCGTACACACACCCTCCCCACACCCTACCCTGGTGAGATTCAACTTGGTTGTTGTTATTGTATGTTATTTTGCATGAACTTATGGTAAGGATTAATATTATACATTTAATTGGCAATACACGTTTAATGCTACTGACCTTAATTAATTGGATTAAGGTGTTGATAAAGACGATGACAAAGAGTTTACAAGTTAAGACCAAAAGTAGGTGTTTCTATGTGCTTATAAGCTAGTCAAAACTGCTTATAAGCTGTTTTTAACTTATAAGTCAGCAGATGATGTGTTTCTTTGTGCTTATAAGCTGACTTATAAGCAACTTATAAGCCAGAAAAAATAAGTAGGTCTTACTTATTTTTAAGTCAATTTTTTCGTTTCTCCGTTTTGACCAGATTACTTACAAAACTATCCCTCACCTATTAAGCTATTATGAATATCCCCAAATGACTTGTATGTCATTTAAGTCATTTTATCTACACTAAAGTATTTTTAACTTATAAGCAGCTTATAAGTTAAAAATTGCTTGTAAGTAATAAGTCAATGAGCACCCGCATAGAGAAACACCCACTATATTTCAACTCACTGGCCACTGGGATCCACTGGGATTAAGGTGGTGGTGGTGATGATAACAACAACAACAACAACCCAGTTTAATCCCACAAGAATAGGGTGTGGGGAGTGTGTAGGCAGACCGTACCCCTACTCAAAAGTAGAGGCTGTTTCCAAAGAGACTCTCGGCTCAGTGTTGAAAGTTGCATTGATTGACAAACTGCTACTTCATTAATCAAAGAAGCGCAAACAATTTAGAGATCCATTTTGCTTTATTCCACCACACACCAAAGTCAAAAAATTGTAATTTTTGGCTCTATCGGAGATGATGGAGACGATGATGTGTGTTAGAGTATATAACAATCATTCCTAGGCCACAACCACAAGCTTGAGCTTTTGGTTGACTTGGTTCCTTGACATGGTATCGGAGCCTTGATGACCAAGAGGTCACGAGTTTGAAACTCACGCCACCCAGTTTAAAAAAATTAAGGTTTCACATGCAAGGCTCAAAGAGGTCACGTACGTGAGGGGGCGTGTTAGAGTATATAACAATCATTTCTGGGCCACAACCACAAGCTTGAGCTTTTGGTTGAGTTGGTTCCTTGACAATGTGAAAATAAAATCATCACATGTTCCTAAAGCTCAATCAAACGGAAAGCTGAAAACTGAAACCTCATACACATCCCTAGAAGTCTAGAACTCAAGTGATTCAAGGCATGTTATTAACCTGTTGATCGTCATCATTTTCAGCTTGTGCTACACCCAGTAATCTCCAACCTTCAGCATTTTCAGGGTTCTTTAAGACTTCAGCCTCCAAAGCAAGAACTGCTTCACTTAAAAGCCCCTTCCGAAATAGTTCTTGTCCTTCTTTGAGAGGATAAGGATGGCCAACGTATGGGTTTAAATCAGAGAACTCATAAATCCCCCTTGATCTTTCTGATGGCTGCTTCAATGAAGCTCGCTCAGTCAAGTACCTGTCCAGAAAATAAGAATTGCAGGAGAATACTCTCAAGGTAGCACTTAAAGAAGAAAATTCAAATGAAAAGCAAGCAAAAATATTACAATAAAAACCTAAAAACTGAAGGGAATTATATTTAAGATGAAATCTAATAAATATCTTCAGTGCACACATTCATTATGTGTATATTGTTGTGTTAGTGTCAGGAAGTTAGTGAAAAGTAATTCGCAATTCTAATAAGGAATATGAAGTGTTTAATATAAAACAATGTGTTCAAAAAAGTCCAATACAGTTGTATTATATTTAATAACCGTGTATCACTGCCTCATTTGAGCCTTATCTATAGCTGCATGACAACTAATTGGTCTGTTCGGAGATACTGTCCTCCAATCTTGATGGTAAAAAAGTGAATAAGAAACCTCCTTGTAAGTGTTATTAATGCAAAAAAGTGTTGTCCTTATTTCAACACTTCAAATGCAAAAAGTGTTTGTTGTCCTAAGTTTCAGAAAGTGCTTGGAAGCATGGCATTCAATGAGCAAGGATTACAGAACATCAAATGCAAATATCGAGAGGTGTTAACAGAGAATCTACTGTTTTTGACATCATTTAGACTAAGGACAGCCCAAAAAAGAAATGTTGGATGAAAACACCGGCACAAAGGGAGTAGTTAACAAGTACTAATATATAGGTCAGCAATAGCCATATTGTCCCTCAAATGGCCGCCCAATCGATTAGGAGATGTGAATGTTTGTTGGAACCTTGCAGCAGTAACAACCATGCCTACTGCTTAGTTAGCTAAAGCAAGCACTGAATCCTAGTGCAAACATTAACTTCGGCTATCAAGTGATACTGCTATTGCCGCATCAGTCTCGTGCACTTGCGGGTGCCGTAACAATGATTTCTAATGCTTAGTTAGCTAAAGGTATCACTGAGTCCTTGTGGGAGCAATGACGTACACTATCCTGAGATGCTTTTAGTACACATCAGTCTCATGCGCTTGTGGGACCATAACAGTCATGCATAATGCGTAGTTAGCTAAAGGAATCATTGAGTCCTTGTGGGAACAATAACTTTGGCCATCCCAAGATACTTTTATTACCCACCAGCCTCATGCACTTGGGGGATCTATCATTTGTTAAGAAATTATAATACAAATAATTCTTTTTTAGTTAGAAAGTCCAACACATCAATTATTTTAGGCCTCAAATTAGTAACTTCAGAATTCAACAACTTCTTGCTTTGTGTTCAAATGCACATTTACTCACGGGCACTCTATCTTATTTTGGTTAGTCCTGTGGTCTGTATAATGCATAATGAGATGTCAAGAAAAAATATGAAGCCACATAACCTGCAGAATAGCCCAATTGCCCACAATCAAAGTAAAAGAAAAGCATGATTCTTATTTAAAAAATCATAATTACTCACTCATCATAAGCATCGGCCCAGTTATCAGAAGTTTCGCCTATTACTCCTTCAGCAACCTGACGGCCAAATTCGTCCGCCCAGTCATTGACATTTAACTTTGAAAATTCATCAACCCACTCATCATTCAGCGATCCATGTTGCCCATTCTGAGCAGCAAACTCAGTTGCCCACTGATGTGGACCATGAGAGAACTTAAATCAGCATAGACATGCATTTCTACTTCATTATATATGTGTGTGTGTGTGTGTGTGTGTACAGACACATAGATATATATATATATATATATATATAAAATATATATATATTTTCCTACTGTTTTTTCCGTTAGCTTCCTTCTTTTAGTTACTGCCTTAATTTCCAAGTCAGTGAGTTGGAGGCTCAGAGCACCTGTTTTTCATCTCTCAACACTGCCATATCCCTTATCTTAGGGTATACGGCTAGTCTTTGGGGAGCTAACACAGTTGTGTTAGGAATCCACTTCTGTTTGGATAGAGGTAAGTACAACAAAAGAGATGGGGCATAATGCACATGTTGATGGAAGACAATTGAGGACAAGGGACCTGTGGAATTGTACTACGCTGTTTGGAGCTAATGCCTGGTCTTTCACTAAACTGCACAGGTTACACACTCCTTGGTGTGGAAATTATAACAAGCTGTATAATTGGAGCCCCTTTGGATTTTTGGAAGTTTCTTTTTGTCTAGTTTATTTAGCCTATAGTACCTGTTTTTATTTCCTTTCCTACATTTACTCTGGCCGAAGTGTAGGGCAACTGGCCACCCCACTTGTACTTTTCTTTTCTTCTTCTCTATTATTAATAAATTTCCTTTAAAAAATATATATATATATATAAAATATATATATATATATATATATACATATATATATATATATATATATGAGAGAGAGAGAGCCCTCTAAACAATACAATGAGACCAACTACATCCAAATGGAGATGGGTATGTATTCCACAACAAGGATAACAATCAATTCTTTTAGAGAACCAGCTACGACTAGGATATTATCCTAAGAGCAACTCCAATCATGGGGCATCTGAAGAGGTAAAATGCTTATAACTACCATTTTTACCTTTTTTCATAAATATTGCACTCCAATGAGAGAGGTATGTGAGGGGTAAAATACCTTCATCACTTCCAAAGAGGTAAATATACCTTCATCAAGAAGAAGAGGTAAAGGGAGGGAATAGATGGTTGGCAGGGGGCGGGTAGTAATGAAGAAGGAATTAATGACCAAAACCCAACATTTTGCAAGCAATAAATTAAGAAGCCATAATTTTGTGTTATAAAGTGTACTTCTTCATCAAATCTTCAGTACCCTTAATCTCTGTAAATTCCAAAAAAAAAATCAATGGTACACCCTTTCTCATCTCTTCAGCATACAGGTCTAGTGTTTGGGGGAGTCACTGAGTTAGAAGGTCTTGGAGAAGGAAAATTAGTTGGGGAGTTTCTTCTCTCTTTTATTTTTGAAATATTTATCAACTAATTTTTTTCCATTAATGTGTGCAGATGGATTTTTTCCCTCTTTTGCCTTTTGATTTACCTTCCCCCATTGGAGTTGCACACTTTTTGGGAAGGTAAACTTGATCACTTGGAGATATAAATGAGATATATACCTCTCAAAGATACCTCCCACCATTGGAGTTGCTGTAATAAATATCTGGCTCAAACATCCCCAAAATTTCAGATTCTCTAATCTTTAAATGATAAAATCAAAGTCACACAAGATGAAAACCCCAAAGTCAAGCAGCATCAAAAAAAGAGTAAATTCCATAATTGGTCATTTACAACATGGGGGATTCCCTATTTAGTCCTCTATTATCAAATATTACCCTGACAATCTTTTTATAAGTATCTTTCCACAAACAGTCCTTTTTTTGATCTTCTATCATGTTGGTGTTAATTTAAGGGCTAAAAATGTAATTTCACAATGATAATATATCTTTCTTGTCATACACAATTTCAAAGGTCATCCCTCATGCGTCATTTGTGAATTACAGTCGCTTTCTACTAACGTCATAGTCTACAAATGTGGTCTTTCATCGAAATTCTAGCTCACAATCATAGTCATTATTTTTATGTTATCCGTCTAACCAATACCAGAATACGTGACCAGACATACGGTTGACATCAAATCATACTTTTAGGCTTTAAATTAACACCAGCACGGCAGAAGATCAAAACAAGGACCATTGGTGGAAAAGCACCCATAAAAGGACTACGGAGATAATATTTGATAATAGATGACTAAATATGGAAATTCCTTGCTATAAAGGACCAATTATGGAATTTACTCAAAAACAACAAATTATATGCATACCCTCTCTTGGTTGAACTGGTCAGACCATGTTTGCTCCCCACTAATTTGTTGTTCATATTCTCCAACCCAATCCCCAGGGGCAGGTACAGCTGCTTTAATTTGGTTGTCCTCAATGCTAATTTCACCACGGCTCATCTTCGATACAAATTGGAGAAATCTTGAATTCTATGTGTAACAAATTATTTTAAAAAGATTAGAAGACGGATGATATTCAAATTATGAAAGTAGACTCTGTTAATTATCAGATAATTAAAATGCCCAAATATTACTTATATATATATATATATACACACACACACACACCACGGTTCATGTGACATTGGAGTTCAATGAGGACACAATGCAACGAGGACGTCACCAAATTAGGTGAGGGAGGATGTCAACCCTTTTGTCTAAACATCAAAATTGGAGGTTTTCTTGTTGTTGTACAAATAAGTCCATTGAGTTATTTAAAACCTTAGAAAGGAGTCTAGAATGAGTTGGAAAAGTATAGATACTCGAATATTTTAGAATATAGATATTTTTATGAAGTGTTCTAGCAATTGCCAAAGACTTGTGCCTTCAAAAAAAACTCACATGTTTCCTTAGCTTTGTTTTCCCTCAGAGTAACTAAGTGACTAAGTCAACCTCACTATTGTAGTGTGAGCTAAGTGATTGGCTATGAAGGTAAGAATGTAGGTAGGACTGTAGGAGAACTCTTAGAGTTAGAGAGAAAGTCGTGAGTGCTAGACATCGTAAATTATTTGAAGCTTAGTTGATTACAAATCAAGGTCTTCGTGGACCGTGGCTATTTATACCCACCCTTAATGGTCCGTATTTGTTGTTGTACACACGCACGCACCTAGACACATATATGCACACCCACACAACAATTAATGTCTTCACAAAATATAGACATTTGACTAGTAACAAGAACATATCATGTAGCTAGTGTATCACCATTCAATAAAAACATATAGTTCCAACAATCACACACACTGCCAGGACACTAAAAATAGGCCTTTCATGAGAATATTTTGTTTGTTGATTTACTGTAAGTCAAAACTAAGAGAATCTAGAAATTTACATGTAAAAAGAAATCGTCACAATTAATACTGATCACAGAAGCGTAAAAACAAGTAATGCAAGTCACATCAAAAGAACCTGAAATTTGGGATCTCTATTTTGAGCTAATGTATGAGCTAGCATGCGTGTTTGCTCCATTGCAGCTAAGTTTGGGGCATTTGCACCTCTCATTTGATCAATCATTCCTAGTTGGGATCGCTCCTGCAGAGGTTGCATTAATAATGTTACCCAACATAGCTAAATATATAAATTACACGTGCAAACACGAGGGAGTGAAAGGCAGAAGCAACAGATCAGCTAAAGAAGAAAAGAATTTCAGTTACTCTATTATGTAAATTTTGTAAACTAAAAAGTACAATTGATGTGCCTAACAGTAATGCTTGTTTAGAATAACATCTATTTGACTCCTCATTTGACTGCACACTTTTTTAAGAAAGTATAAACTTGTATGGCTGAGATTCTTTAAAGAGAAAAAGAATTTCAACCACCAATCCTTTCTTAAAAGAAAAGACAATATACTTTTGGGAAAGACCAAAAATGAAATTATGAAGATGAAAAAAGACAGATTGAGTAATATTTTACGTTAACATGGCCTCTCATAGTTCAACCTAAACCAGTACTGTTGATTGAAGATCAAATCACAATCAGTAAACCACGTCAATTTACAACTGATGATACTGCCTTACTTGCTCAAACTCAGAAGCCCATCCATTAACACCATGTTGTTGTTCAAATGAACGAACCCATGAACTCGGGTCTGTTTCCATTTTATGTTTCCTAAACTCTGCAACCCATCCATCTGAAACTTGATGCACTGGTTTCGCACTTTGTGACTCATTCCAATAATCTTCAAGCTCCACCAGCCGTCCGGGCATAGGGCCTCTTGCCCTAATATCAGTATCAATATCCAAAGAGCTCAACAGTGTATTAACCTGAATTAATGAAATGTCAACTTGTCTGTCAATAAAGTGAGATATCATGCAAATCAATTGCATCAAAACATTGGTATAAAGTTATGTAAAATAGACTGTCGCCTAAAAAAAATTTCAATGAACATGAGTAACTTTCTTTGTAATCTGTAATTTACTTTTTACACCCCCAACATTGTTAAGTTAGTAAGAAACAAATAAATGAACCATCATCAACTAATTGAAGGTGTACAACAACAACCCTGTTCAATCCCACTAAAGTGGAGTCTGGGGAGGGTGTGTACGCAGACCTTGCCCCTACTCGAAAGTAGAGAGGCTGTTTCCAAAAGATCCCCGACTCAAGCAGTACATATACTATAAACACATACGACACATAAAGCAGAGAAAGCACAAAGAGGCAAAGAATAAACTAATGTTAACAAAGGAAAAGCACTGCAAGCTGAGAGCACGAAACTTACAAAGCACAAAACAAGTGCAGAAATTACCACCTAGCCCAGCACGCCTACCCAACTACCCTAATCCTAGCTTTCCAAACGCTCCTATCTAAGGCCATATCCTCAGTAACGACAAGAAGTCCTATGTCTTGTCTAATCACCTCCTTCCCAGTTCCAATTCTTCTTAAGTCTACCCTTTCCCCTACTTCCATCCATCAATGTAAGCCTCTCGCATCTAAGCAATCTGCCCTCTCACATGCTCAAACCACCTCAACCTAGCTTCCCGCAGGTGCCATGCCTACCCATCCTTGTATGTCCACCCATACCCCGCAGCATCTGCATCTCCGCGGAATGCAGTTGACGCCAATGTTCAAATTTGTCATTTAGTCCCTCGCGGGTGTTGTCGATAAGCACAATATCGTCACCAAAGAGCATGCACCATGGGAGCTCCCTTCGAATTGGTATAACCCCACCTCTACAAAAAAAAGGCTTAGAGACACCCTGGTAGTCTTTACCCTAGTCCTTGCCCCGCTCTACATACCTCTGACTACACGAATGTATGCACTCGGAATCGCTCTCGACTCAAGGCACCTCCACAAGACCTCCCTCGGCCTAGCTTGCACTAGGATGGGTGCGGGTACATATAGAGACAGTAAAATTACAAGATGCAGGGATGGCAAAGATACAGCAAATAAAACATTAAAGTACTAAATATAGAATTAAAAATGTAAAAAAAACAATACCTAATTAGTATATAATAATTCAATGACAACTTTCAAAATTTAACAATAAAATACTTTGAATCCATATTCTTAAATTGTTCATTGTTATTATTAATAATTTGTTTGATAAAAAACAATAATAAAAGTAGTAAATACTACGGATTTGCAAATTCGATATTTTTGGGTACAATTTGCAAATTGGGTTGGAAGTCAAAAGATAAAGGAAATCCTAATTTCAGTGGAGTCATTGCCTAACCCTAATCGGCTACTTATACGCACAAAAGAAAAAAAGTACTTCGTAATTAGGGCACGGGCCCGAATTGTGGATTTGACCCAAATTCTTCCCATGCTTTGCCTTTTCGTCTCCTCAGGCTTCATTGGCGAATCTTGTGCAACTGCGACGGCTCTGGTGCGTCTCCTGGGCGTCCCCGTCCCTGAGGCAGTTCTGCCACGCATGAACTGGTTCTCCAAAATGCACACCTAAAGATGTATGCGGCTCAAAATATTTCTCACCTAATTTCCATATGAGTGAAGACCATTGTTATAGAAAGCGTTATATGTCACATGGCAATGGAGGGTCCGCCTAGCTCCTAAGGCCTAGTCAATATATCTATATTGACTTAATTTGTTCAAATCAAAAGTGTATAAAATTGGATCCCATAAAAATTGTGTTAGGGAAAAACACATGAAATGAGCACGACCACATAAGCTGGTGACCAATTTTTTTATCCGACTTAGCTAAAAGTGTGGTACCTGCCTTTCACCACGGCTGATTTTTAGAACACCATACAAGAACGTTGTTGCTCATCACATGTAAGGTTGAGATTAGAAAAGATTTCACTCATTATTTAAAGTATGAAAAAAAACTCAATGAGAAGCATATTACAATATTTGGCTCGCGAACGGAGGCAGTGACAAAAGCAAACCTGTGCATTTATGAAGTCTTCAGTTTTATCAGCAAAAAAATGTCGAGCCATTATAGTGCTGCGGTCTCTTATGCATTGCTTTTCACCCTGGGACAACCCTAATACAGGAAGTGAAGCAGCACGGAAAGGAATTCCACCATGGCTACTATTAACAAAAGAGTGCAAGAAGCTTGACAATACTATTTGAGGTGGTCCTGCATGATTAACAGGCAGAGCTTAGCAACTTAGCCAGCTATTTTCAGAAAAAAGTCAAGATTTTATCTAGCCAGAGATTATTTTTAGACCCCGACAACGTTGAGTGAACATATATTAAATAGATTCTGCACAAAGCTATGCAAGAAGGCAATATATGCCAGATGGATGGTTGGAGGAATTTTCCTTCAGTAATTGACGCCTTCAGTAATGGAAGGTTCGACATTTCCCTACTGTCATGTAAACACACATAGTAAGAAACAAGTCATCAAGGCCCTCAACTTTTCAAACAAAAAATGATTTCAAATACCCCATACTTGTGGAGTAAACTAGTCTAATTTAAAGCTTATGATTCCAAAATTGTCGTCTATTCACTCCCAAATAAAGCAAATCAATAACTTACAAAGCGCATCCACATAACAACAGGACAAGTGGTATTTGAGTGTTACCATTCAACTGTGGTTGCAATAGAGAGTTGTCTAAAGAGACATTAGAGTGATTGAATTGATTCCTTTGTAGCCCATCCCATACATCTGCAAAGTAATTCTGGTCAGCAGTATGAAATCCTTGAAGGAATTCTGAACCCTGAAAGTTGAATTAACATTAGTTGATCATACCCAAATGCAAATATAGCCTTAACTTTGTGAATAAAAAATTGATAGATATTAACCTGCTGATTAGGTTGCAATTGACCATCAAACTCCAATCCTGGAAGAGTTGCCAATGGCTCTGGGGCACCAGCAACAAACTTGTTATCAAGTTGTGTAGTCACTGACGTAGGGATCTCCTTCAATCTTTCCTGCTCAGATAAATGATACGATTTATGTTTATTCACATTGATGATATTTACACCAACTTAAAAGTAACCTATAAATATACTTCAAATGCAGCATATTAACATACAGAGATTCGAAAAGTATGTTCTACGTGGTGGATGTGATAAGTCAATGCCAGTAAGAGTTCTTATGAAGAGCCAGATGTGAGGGTTCAAAAAACTACTCCGGGGTACTTGCTTGCAAATAAAACAATACTATTTGAATATACAATATCCACTCAGATAAAGACATAAGTAACCCATCAGACCATGGCAGCTCGTTAAAGTGAAACAAAATTCGCACAAAAACGATAAAATTGATTGAATTTGGATCAATAAGTAGATAAGCTGCTAAGGTCAGACATAACGAAGGTGAAATGAAACCTGAGTCTTAGATGAAGAGCCGATAAGAGCGTTGGCAAGAGCTCCGAGGGGATTGGATGAAGAAGATGAACCGGGCACGGCACAGGCTGCGCCACCAGTTACCAGGTCTCTCATCGCCATATTTTCTGAACTCCGAGCTTTACAATCTCCTGCGGAGTCTTGATTCTTGATCACAGGTTGATTGATGAGAGCTCCTCCGTAAATGAAAGCTTGATTATATATAACCGAGGCAGGAGGACGTATGCTGTAGACGTCGGAGACGAATAGCCGTGCCGGTGCGAGTGGCTGACTATTTAAGCGCCCAGGCTGTCTCATACATTGGTTCTCTTGGTTGAGCTCTAACCGCCGTTCTTTAGTTTACCAAAAAACGTCCTTCAGAAATTTAAAATTCACCATTTTTTTCTGCCCAGGCAAACCCATCTCAAAGTAGGGGTGGACACGGTACTGTTCTGGGACAGTTCCGGTTCCAGAACTGCCGGTTTCGGTTCTAGAACCGCCGGTCCTGGTACCGCCACCCCTAAGAACCGTTACCGTGACCGAACCGGATGGTACCGGTTCCGGTACCCGGACCGGCGGTTCTGGTACCGGACCGGCCGGTTTCGGCAACCCCTATTTTTTTAAATTTTTAAAAGCGTAAATGTGTAACTGTTAAAGGAAATAGTGAAATAAAATATCTAAAAATGTAGTTGTTATTTAAATATTGTAAACTGAGTAATACACGAACTGAGGAACAACTATATTTAATATCCTGACGGTTCAAAAAAAACAACGAGGTAAAGAACCGTAAAGAAACTCTCGAAGAAGCTTATATATCGCTCACCTAAAAAACTAATTACATATTTACATTAACATTAAAAAAAAGTTTATAACTTATTCCTCAGAACTAGGGCTTCCATTTGTGGTTGCATTCATGTAATGTTCAGAATTGAATTTGTACCCTCACTCTTAAGCTCGACGTCTTGCCAAGAGCCAATCTCAGTTGCAAACAAGTATTTCAAGCGATTCAGCGCTAAGACAACTTGGGTAGTCGGTTAGAATGTTGCCGCCAGCACTGAATTCTTGTTCCACTGATACGGTTGATACCAGGACGGATAAAACTTGTCTTGCTAGCATTCCGAGACATGGGAACATGTGTTCGTTCCGCTTCCACCATGCGAGGACGTCAAACTCCACGTCTTCTTCGTAATCGCATGGAACCCTTTGGTACATAGCAAGTTCGTTGTGCGAGCTTACAGTTGTACCACCTGAACTCGTCGAAGGCTGACCACGCTTACCTTTTCTTGTCAAAAGCCCACGTAATATTCCTTTAAAACCTTTTTTTGCTTTGGGGGCGGAGGAGGTGTTGTTTCTTCCGGTGCATTACCGTATATTCCTTGAAATTCTCTAAATAAAGCCTCAAAAAGATTAATAGCATTATCTCTTTCTTGTGCACATTCTATTAAATGGTTGTAGTAATAATTATTTTCATATAAAAAACCAGTGTAGTAATAGTCAATTAGAATTTTAAAATTTCCATCCTTAAAGCGAGGATTACACATAATACCAATTTTATAAATATCAAGAATGTACAAATAATAAGCACACCATTTATCCATCATAGGAGAGACATAGGGGTACAAATCTGGATCAGCTAAACTTTCACGAAAACATGTTGCGATTGTAACACTCTTTAAAAATCTATTTGTAGTGTGTTGGTAAACATGCGAGAAAGTAAGAGTTGCATTATTAAAAACTTCTAATACGGCATTCAATTTTTCAACAATAACAGATTCATTCATTGAAATCATAAAACTAAGTTCATTCCTAAGAAATTCAGCAAGTTCCTCTTTGTAGCTTAGAATCTGTGCTATCAACTTGTATGTACTATTCCATCTAATAGTGATATCTTTGGCAAATGTTATTGCTCTTCTATCCCTAGATTTACAGAATGACTTCCAAGATTTCATATTAATACGACTACCCCAAATCTTTTTAATTCCATTTTTAATATTCGTCAACCCCCCCCCCATAGCTTCTAATCTTGTTGAACACATAAATTTAAAACATGACAAGCACACCGTTGATGCAAAAATCTACCCATACTCGTAATAGGGGACAAATTTCTTTAAGTATAGGAATAGTAGCTGTATTATTAGTAGCATTATCAAAACCAAATGCAAAAATACCTTTCTCGGCCTTTTGGCTAAGATCAAGTGTAGTATCTGTTCTTATCAGTTTAATATCTGATATATGGGCCATTGGTCCATACGATATTAACTTTATTTCTTTAAGGGGGAAGGCCCATCAAAGGCAGCTTGCTGTCTTGGGCTTTCAAGCGTCGCCTTGGTCTTGCACTACTGCCTTGGCCTGGCACACCCCACCATTAAAAAAAACAAATGCAAACACTTTATTAACTAAATTGTATTCTCGCAGAATACGCTCAAGCAATAGAAAAATATTTTCAGTAGTATGAGAATCATTGAAATCACGAAATGCAAGAATACATTTATGCATAATCCAATCACTATCTATCCAATGACAAGTAATACCCATATAAGACAAATTATGATATGTTTCACTCCAAATATCAGAACAAATAGTAACACGAGAATTAAAATTGAGAAAAAAATTTGTCAAATTCATTTTTTCAAGTTTATATTGTCGAATAATTTCTCGCTTAATTGTTTTTCTTGAAAAACCTCTTGCTTGAGGGTTTAATGCATTTTGACAATAATCAATAAATCTAAGTTTTTCAGAAAACATGTGTGTCAAATTTTCTTCACAAATCATTTCGGTCATTTTTTGCTTATTTTGCTCGTCGCTATAAGCAAAAAGGCCACCCTTACCCCTGTTGGCAAGCCGAGAAATTTGGGTTTGCACTTCTTATCGTCCCTTCTTTTTCGCCGCGTATTTGGCGTACTCCACGGGGTGCCTCGCTTTGTTTCTTTTGAAAAATGATAAACAAATAAATCTGATTTTAATTTTTTACCTTTCCGCGCACCTTGAGAGGTCTCAGGCTCACCTGCCTCCTCGTCGACGTCGGTAGGATTGTTGTTTTGCAGTGTAGGCTCCACGTCTATTTCTGCTTCATCAATGTCCTCGAATATATCTTCAAGAGCTTGAAGATTGGCGTCGGTTCTACCTCCTAAATATTGTTCAAATTCTTGATCCGTCAAAGCGTCGCCCACGGATTGATCGGGGATAGTAGGGAAAGAAGAGACGGAGTGTCTTTCTTGAGAACCACGTGAACTCGAACCGTCGGAGGTGGCTTTAGCTTTGCCTTTCCTCGAACTTCGGTTCACAACGCCCATATCCACGGACCTTCTACAAGATTCTCTCGACATTTTAATATATTTTTATTTTGATAAAAAATGACTAAATTAAATATTTAAAATATTGATTATATAGTGATTTTCGAAATTATAATATTAATTTATAACAAATTAACAATATAATATATTAGTAAATAATAGTATATGAATAATGAATGTATTTATATATTATTATATAATATATCAATATATATTTATATTATTATATGAATATAAATTGTATAAAGATTGAAGAGAGATAATAAGAATTAATAGAGAATTAGAGATGAAATGAAAAATAGTTGGAGAAATGATAGATTGGGAGATTGAGATTTGAGAGTTGAATGTGTGATATTTTAAAAATATTAGAGTATATTTATAGTGTATAAGTGTATTATACCCCCCTCCCCCAACCCCCCTTCCCCTCAACGGCATTCTCTAGCCGTTAAAGGGGTCCCTCCCCCCACTAATGCTATCTTTTTTTGCAGGTGGGCCGCAGGTCTGGAGTGACAGCCAAAATAAACTATATATATATATATATATATATATATATATATATATATATATATATATATATATATATAATATGGTACCGGAACGAGTACCGATACCGCCGGTGCCGATACCGCCGGTGCCGAAACTGGTACCGTGGGGGCGGTGCCGGTACGGGTTCCACGGAACTAGAGGGGCGGGTCGGTGGCCGGTGACGGTATGGGTACCAGCGATACCGTCGCCGGTAATGGTACTGAACCAGTACCATGTCCAGGCCTATGTGTCAGTCCCAGAGATTCCTCAAGGTAGACTTACCTCAGCTGTAGTGTTGGATCAACACCAGTTAAGTTAACATGTATTGCATGTTGGATCAGGTCGCTCTTGCTGTAGGATTCAAGGTTCGTTCAACCCAAGATATTAACAATTTACAAAGTGTTGGGTTAACGGAAACAAGCACATAGCAGCCTAGCGTTGGATGCGAATATCCACACACTTACCATCATACAAACATACATGTCTTAATGTACATACACAACACAAGAGAAGGGACAACCTAAATAATCCAGTCAGACGGTAGCAGTACCGACGTACCGTCACATAGTAGCTGGCAATCGTCAGATGGTAATAACCTACTACGACCATCACCCTATTCCCCACCACAGGCAGTACTGCATAGTTTGTGACGGTTGCATGGTACCGGCCGGCGGTACCAACCTGCCGTCAATCGCGACAGGTCTTGATGCAATCTGTTCAGTTCGGAAATCGAACCATACAAACCCCAAATCCATCAATTTAGCATCCTAAAGCAGAGGCATACACATGTTCATTAATACAGGAACATATAACCCCAAACATACACCTAAATAATGCATTCTACCCATTGGTTAATGCATAAACTCAAAAAATCGCAAATTCAAAAACCGTATAGGTTTTCTTGCAATGCAATCATACAACAACTACGAACAAAGATTTCAAACCTAATTGAATACTCTAACGTTAGGGTTCCACGTACTCACCTCGAAACTACGAAGATTAAACTACGACGAACAAAAACTCACGGGGACGAGGAGCGCGGCAACGGCTGAACCTCCTCCTTCTCCTCCTTCTTCTTTTTCTTGTTATACTTCTTCTTCTTCTTCTCCTTCTCTCGTTCTTCTCCTCGGATCTGTCTGGTCCTGCTGCTCGTGATCACACGAACAAACAGGGGAGGCATAAAAAGGGTGAGGCGTGTTGGTCTATTTAAATAGCCTAAGGTTTTGTGCTCCGTAATTAAATAACATACCTCCGTAAAAATATACTTTTGAGCTAACTTGCTCCGAATTCAGATCCATTTGTACCGTTGGATCCGTCTCATCGAATCTTACACAACGGTATAATATTTATAGTTAATTATCAATATTTTTAATTAACCCAGATCCGTCTCAACAATTAGTTAATTATTTTTAATTAATTAATTCTTATAGGTCGTGTTTTAGGGCGTTATAAAAGCTATGTTCAAATCACACGAGACTACTTAAAAAATCTTTTGGTCCTATTATTCTTGATATAATATAGATATGGAATCATAAGTTGGCCTCTAGGGCTCACTTATATTCAACAGTCGAGTACCGTATGATAGAAGCAAGTTACTGGCTCCCGGAAGCTAAGTACCACCACATGACGAAAACAATCTGTCAAGGACCACCCGGTACTGGCAACTGACTACCATTTGGTAGTATGTTGATACCGTATGAGGCTAGGTCACTATGGTACGGTTACCATGAGACGTGTTTTTCATATTAATCTGAATCGGTTTGTAACCACTTCAATTGTTATGTTTGACACATGATGATAATTGGAGGGTCTCTGCTCCCCTGATAGGCCACTGTTCGATATAATTGATTTTGCATGAATTATGATATGAATTTCATTGAGTTCAATGGTAATAAATTCTAAATGATGAGCTGATATTGAGGAGTAGGCTACATAGTATACCTAGGCGGTTAAATATCTACGTACGGGAGTCTACAACCTACCTAGGGGTCACCTTTGTAGGGGCTCCAACCCGCTATTGAAGATTTTTTTTGGTTCCGAGCATTGGCATTGAGGAATCCGCTCAAGTGTTCATAACTCTAGCATGTTGAATTGAGCCTTAGCCATGATAGGTATAAGAGCAATGAATAGAAGGGTATGTTGAGAATGATTCTTGATTGACAATATTGTGATTTGATACTTTGATCTTCTCGCATGATGTTATGTGATTGTATGTGGTTGTAGTATATTATTCAAGAAGTTGATTTAAGCATAGATATATTCTCACTCCGGTATGAAGTGAGCGTGTAATCTATGCTTGTCTTTGACTGCACACAGGTACTTAGTTGGAGTACCCCAGAACGGTAGTGAGACGGAAGGGGGATGTCTGGATGCAAGACTAGTTTAAAACGTTTATACTTTCACTATTTTAATGATGTGATATATTTTATTGAGCTTCCACACCATTTTGAATTATCTCCGATGAATAATTAAATTTGTTTTGAAACGTTGAATTTTTAAAAAAAAGATTTTAAATTGTTTTTAAATAATTTGGTTTCCGGATACCAAATAAGTAACAACTCGGCTCGTTAACCTATTTATTCAGAGTATGTGAGTTGGGTGTCAAACTCACACCTCATGAGGTTGACATATTTCTTTATTGACCAAGATGAGCCGGAGACGTGCCTCGAGTACGAGGAATGGTGCAAGGCCATGCAATCTGAAATTGACAGTACTACTCATACCAACAAAATGCAACTTCTTTTGGTGAGTTCATAACTTAGAAACTTCGGAGTTAAGCGTGCTTGACTTAAAGCAATTCTAGGATGGTTGAACCCGTGGAAAGTTTTTAGGGCATGCACGAGTGTGACCAAAGTATGAGAGAAAAAGTTTTGTTAGTTTTTTGGGGCTAGCAAAAACTCTGATAAGTAGTCACTTTCAGCACATATGGCCAGGATGTATCTAAACGCTATCAAAGCAACCCTATAGCCCTGACACACTAGCAAGCTCAGTTCACTTAATTAGCAGGATCTAAGGGCTTGTTATGCGTGGATGTTGCATTCACAAGTAGAGGTGAGTGTAAGACCCCAGGATGAAATGGGATGGATTGGAAAGAGCTCAAAAAAAGATAGTATTACTCATGCTAATTTAGAAACTATAGAGTTAATTGTGCCCAATCTAGAAAAAGTTTAGGATGTGTAACCCCCATAAGGTTTTCAGGCGACCCACGAGTGAGGCCAAAGTATTTTTGAAAGTATTGAGTTAGTTTTAAAAGTGGATGCACACGACGACTTTGAATAAAGACAATTATGAAAACTTGTACATAAGTTGAAGAAGTTAGAAAGAGATTATGACGGATTGAAAATACACTAAGTTGCATGAGAAACGAAGCCACAATTTTAGAGGGTTTTGTAGCATTTGATTCCAACATTATTTCACTCTTCTTTGTTTTTTAAAAACTTAAACATCAAGCAACTTTAAAGGCGCTTTAGTGTTTTGTTACTTTCTAATTCTCTTTTTTAGAAATAAGTTGATCTGTCAAGAATTGATCTAGTCTGTTTTTAACTCGAGACTCAATTTGAAAATATTTGATTTTGAACAAATATTACTGATCAAACTTGTCCCACTAAAAATGGGTCAACCCTGACTGACCTCAAATTTGACCTGACAGACCATAGAACAAAACAAAATTTTATAATATATCCTCCGTCTCTAAATGATTTACACACTTTATTATTCAAAAATCGTAAGAATATTTTCGTTGACTATTTGATGAAATAAAATATTCTTATTATCTTTTGTTTTGTAAAACTTTTAATGTACTTTTTAAATAAAGAGTATGTAAGTTTTTTTATTTATATAATAATCTTTAAATAAAATGAATTGAAAAAATTTGAAATTTTACTTCATTTTGCGTAAAGTGTAAGTGATTTAGGGACAAAGGAGTATCATTTTTTATATTTGATTGTTCTTAAATGTAAAATCTTGATGTTATTATGAATCTAAAAATTCCACAAATAAAACTCACAATCCGTTGAATCGATTGAACCAATTACATTGGATTATGAATAAGTAATTCTTAACCCCAAATCCAAAGTAAAATCCGACTGACCTTTCAGTCAATTTAACCATTCAATCCGGTAGATTGTTCCGCCTTTTCCGATAAATAGTTCCCCTAATACGCATTATTAACGTCCCTTCCATCTTTTAGAGGTCATTCAACATACAATATTACGGAGTACAATCCAGTGTTCATCTTTTCTTAGAAAGATTGCAATTCATGAGAGCAAAGCAAAGCAAGCAAAATGGATCCGAACCCCAGCCACTTTCCGATTCTCTCATTTGTGATGTCCAAACTTCCAATGATCGGCGTTCGACCGGCCGCCGGTGCCGATGAATTTGACGTTGAGCAACCAAAGCCACAGTCGCCGCTGCCGCAGAAGCCCCATTTCGAGCTCACCGAGCGGATGCCCCACCTCACCGATCCGAAGGTTGTTGCAGCCATGCGTTTAGCGGTAGCTGACGTAGCGCAGGCGCGATCTATGCTCAAATCCTTGGGCGAACGCCCTGATCACGAGACAGTAGACACAGCAAAGATGAAGCTGTCTGAGATCGATGCTTTCCTGGCTAAAAAGCTTGAGGAGATCGTTCTGACATCGCAGCCACCAGAGGCGGATCAGCAGGATTGGAGGTCCAAGCTTGTGGAGAAGGAGGCTGATTGCCACAAAGAGGCCGATAAGGAGAGGGAAATGTACAAGGCTGTGATTGCATTGGAGGAGATGCATGAATCGTATGCCAGACTGTTGAAAGAGGCAGAGAAGAGGTTGGAGAAAATTTATCAGGTGGCTGTTTCAGGGGGTGATGTGAACGCAGTAGCACTGGAAGAAGCCGCTGATACGAATCCTGCTGTGGAAGTGGAAGTGAATGAAGAAATTATTTCTATTTTGCAGGAGGCATCAGTGAAAGGAATCGAGAAAGTCGATTTATCTCGTAAACAATTGACATTGCTACCTGAATCATTTGGCAGAATACGCTCCTTGGTTGTGCTGAACTTGTCATATAATCAGCTTGAGGTAAGCCTTAGATGGGTGGCTTTTGACATCAATAAACTTAGATGGGACCTTTTATTTGTGTTGAATTAATGGTTGCAATTTTATGACTTTAGGTGATCTATTCCTAAATTTAAGCATATATTTTTGCATGTTAAGATTCAAGTATGTAATTTAATGGGGGCTATTTAGCTCATTCCTACGTGGATGATTCACAATAGAAATATGATTTAGGAATAGATGATCTATCACTTTAGGTGATCTATTCCCATATTTAAATTTTCTTCTCTACTTATTGATAGTAGAATAAATACAATAGAAATCCATCACCTCCTTAACCAATTGCATATAGACGTGATCTCCAATTCCAATCGGTTTCTTTTGGAATTTAGTGAGAATATGGTACATGTAAAAAAGAGTGGGAAATGAGGATTTTGACGCATCTTCTCAGATATTTTCTATTGCTTCATGTAGTCAAGTCTTATTAATTTGGGATCAAGAGGTAGTTGTAAAATTCAATAGCTTGTTGCCTTATTTCTGTTTATGCTATAAGAAATCAATGCTAATTTAGCTCAAAATTATTTCTTACGTCTACAAATAATCTGTTTCACCATTGGTTTTAAGAAGAAAAACATGGTATTTATTTTGCTTCAGAGCATCAAGATGTCTAGCTATAATCATCCCAACATGAAGGGATGAGGTGAAAATTTCCTTCAAATGTGCATCACTTTGTTGCTGAACTATTTTTTCTTGCAAAATAGTGAGAAATCAATTCTGATTGAACAAGGCGAATGCAATACCAGATTAAGTGGAGAATTGTTAAATGAATTCTTAATATCATGGATTCCATTCATGAATCATCCATCTCTTATATCTTCTGGTGATTAGCTACAAGGATCATTGGGATTGTTATGGCTGCTGAATTGGTGGCTGACGTAGAGGTGGCGTGAGTCTACACTTCTAGGAGTTTGATTTGGTGATTTGCCTATGATTGGTTATCACATGGTTGAGTGTTGTATTAAAGGAAGCATAAGTTACTTGTTTCTTTGTCGTAAATTTTGTTTCTTATGTCTGTATTGCTTTTTTTATGAAAACAGGCAGTACCTGATTCAATTTCTGGTCTGGAGAACCTCCAAGAACTGTATCTCTCAAATAATCTTTTCGAATCACTTCCAGACTCTATTGGTTTACTGTCAAAACTGAAGATCTTAGATATCTCTAATAACAAACTAGTTGCCTTGCCGGAGAGCATCTGCCAGTGCAGGTAAAGTTGTCTACTTGCAAACAGGTTCTTTATCCTGTTGTTTCTTTCTCCCATCAGGGCCATTGTGTGCTATCTATCTATATCTTGGTCGTTTTCATACTGATTGTAGATCATTGGTGGAGTTGGATGCCAGCTTCAACCAACTCTCTTACTTGCCAACCAACATTGGGTACGAACTGGTTAGTCTTAAAAGACTCCTTATTTTCTTGAACAAACTTCGCACCCTTCCCACATCTATTGGTGAGATGAGATCCTTGCAAGTTCTGGATGTGCACTTCAACGAGCTTCGAGGCATTCCACATTCAATTGGGAAGTTGGCAGGTCTTGAGGTCCTAAACCTAAGCAGTAATTTCAGCGACCTTACTGAACTTCCTGATTCTCTTGGTGACTTGACAAATCTCAAGGAGCTTGATCTGAGCAACAACCAAATCAGTGAACTGCCTTACTCATTTGCCCGACTGGACAACCTTACCAAGCTCAACGTGGACCAAAACCCTCTTGTGATCCCTCCAAAGGNTGTCTGCACTACATACACGTACAGCCCCCCCACCACCACCCCCCATCAAAGCAAAATTTGGAGATATCCCACATGAATAAAGCTGCAGCTGGGTTTATGCATAACTCATTTCCTTTGATATCCTAACTTGTAGATACGTTCATCTATACTTGTAAGGCTACATGGTGAGCTGTTTTGGGCTATTACTGGATAGGTTTTTTTTCATAAGCTAGACCAAACTGAAAACTATAGTCTATTTCCTTCACATGTTGAATGATTGAACTGCTTATTCTTGCTTCAAAGATTCAGCAGACAGATTTTGATGTATATGTCTCTGAGATCTTTTCCCGTATACCTTTCATGGATCTACTTTCTTTTCATTTTTTGATAATAAGAAAGCTGCAGATTATTATTAGGTCTTAATATCATAACGTCTTAAACTTCTCACTCTACTTTAGTAGGAGTAGCTTAGGGGGAGTTCTTAGCTAACGAACAGTTGTTTCCAAAAGCAACTCCTTTGATAAATTAAGCAATCCATGCTCCACTTGGGCTCCACATCAACCGTCCGTAAAAGGTTGAGCAACTTCCCATGGATCTTTGCATTAAAGAAGCTCTAAAGAAAGCTATTTCAACCGACCACATTGATTTGATGCCACTCGCTCCTTTTGTGCTTTCTTTCATTGTTTTCATAACTGAAACGGTCAAAGAATTGGTGCAAGTTTACCGGTCAAATCGATAGTTTGAGGGGTGGAACTAGTGCTTTAAATATATTTGTAAAATAAGGTGGAAAAGAATATTGATACAGATAGATAATGTTATCCGTCAAATGACATTAAGGCACAAAATGGCCAAAGCTAAACAACTACCCTATGTATAAACCAAAGCTAAAGAATATGAGAAACCCAATTCAAAAATTCAAGAAACCGTAATGCCTTTTAAGTTCTTATAATATACAAAGCTAAAGGGAAGAAATGAACAGTGCTATTTCACGCCTAAACATTCCATGTTCGAGTTGGGTAATGGAATTGTGGTCCAGGTTGGGCAAATGGGTTTCGGGTTCATGTTGGGCAAAGGACACATGAATGATTGAATTAGATGGATAATTTTTTTGGATGCCGTGAAAACATTATTATTTTCCCCTTCGGATATGTACTTAGGAAGCTATAATTCATTACACATCCTACATCATTAGTTTCTCCTTGGGAAATGTATTTGGGCTGCTAATTAATATTTCACTTTATAAAGAAACCTTTCCCAATATGAATTCACTACCCCTCCATTAAAGCTTTTGAATATTTCATCTTTCTCTCTATCCATTATATTGATCTCTCTAACTAGTTTTATGAAAATGACCCTAAAACGTGTTATCCCCGGCCTGTGGACAAACCTTGATGAGTTCGAAAAGGACTGGAACAACATTGCTATCCATGTCCGAGCTATTCATGTCTACCACATTCAGGCTTTACGAAGCACCATAGAATTGATGGAGGTTGTTTTTCATGACGATGAAGTGTGTATTCTTTTACAAATCATTTGAATTCAAAATATGCATTCATGTATATATGTACCGTAAACAAACAATGATCAAATGTAAAAAAAAAAAGTTCAGAAAGTCCATTGAAACATAAAAAAACCCCTACAACTTCATAAAGAACACGTCTTTTAAATTATCATCCATAATATGCAGTGAAACAAACTGGCTTACATACTTTAACGATGCTGACGTTTTTTCCTGGTGTGCAATAGAGCACTATGATTAATTGCCAAATTAAGAATCCATACAATACCAGTATTAAATAACAGATTGTGGAGGGAAGTATTTATGGCATAAAGAACCTTTTGATCCATGAAAACTATCAATCGTTCAAAACAACAAAGCATCCCTTTTGATGGCTTTCTACAGCCACACAAACGTCAATATAATGTCTCGGTAGGGTATCCTGGATTGATGTATGACTTGCGTCCGTTTGAGAGAGTTCAGAAACTACCATTGATTGAGGACCCTTACTTGCTAGTATGGAAATTTCATATACTTTAATCACTGGATAAGTAGTGTTTCTTTTAGTTTTGTAGATGTAATTGGAAAAATCGTTAGGCGTTTGGGGGTGCGAACACACGTGACACCACAAAGGGAGGATAAGCTCATGGACATAACCATAGAGGATTATGAGTGCGTTAAATCAATTTTATGTGTTTGAAAAAAGTTAGAAAAACATTTTCACAAAAATTTCTTTTGCAATGCTTTGCATTGGGAAGGCATTTAAATTGTGCATTGTGCGGTAAGTATGTATGTTGATCAATTCAACGAATATAACCTACCATATCCATCTCTCAGGTTACTAAGCTTCTGTCGCATTAAAAGGCTCAATGGTGAGTAATACTCTTGGGTAAAAAATATTTTTAAATACAACCCTACAAGTAATGATTACAAATATCTAAATCGGCATACTCTATACAGGAGGTGTCAATGTTTCTACAGCATTCGATGTCACAAAGATTGTGTTTGATGGAATTTCAAATGAGGTTTTTGAATTCAGGGGAACGTAAGATAACCACGACAAACCATCTTTCCAAATTACGATTCTCTTCCTCAAAATTTAACCCTTGTTGATAAATTTAGCATAACACATATTATTTCTATAAATGTATCAACAACTTGTCCTTTATTTGAAATAATAATGCAACAATTAAAACATTATATATTGTAATGTCTTGCTAAAACAAAGCGAACCAACTATCAATTCACTAATTGAAAACGAGATCAAAGATATATGTTGAAACATGGGTTTGTCACGTTTTCGTACTAAAGCCGTGTTCGTTTTTATGACAGGTTTTGATAATGCCAAACTGCCGTGATAATATAAAACATCTAACATACAAGGCGAAGAACAGAGATAAGAACAAGAGCTAAAAGAAGACCAAGAACGAAGACCATAGTCTTAGTGTCGTTGAGTCGGTCTCAATTGTGATCAAGACCGACCCAACCTTTACACATTGGCTCTTTAAGCTAAATTCCTTTCATTGCATTTATCACATCATAAAAATGTTTTTCAAACATTCTTAATTCATCAAAAACACTTTGTGTTCGCCCAAACCAAAAATCAAGCCATCCGGCGTTCGGCTTTCAGAAATCGGCGTTCGACATTCAGTTATCGGCATTGGTTTTTGGCGTCCAAACCAACCAAGTGGTTTTCAACATTTTATAATTGGTTTTTACTTCTTGGCATGTTTAAACAGTTCTCCAACAAAAGCACTTTGAAAACCACCTTTCGTTTTTGCTCGTTTGGCAAAAACCACGCAAAACGGCATAAACTTGGCTAGCCATGGTTTTTACTCAAATGACACGGTTTTTAAAGTGTCTCACTTGATTTATTAGCCAAATACATTAAATAAGTGTTTCAAATACTTGGTTTTTATTTTGGAGAACTTTGGATTTTTCGGTCGGTTTTTACATCGGTTGGCTAGGTCGTGGTTTAGGCAAAAACCATGGGTTTTTGACTAACCTTCAACCCAGCGATGGGAGGAACTACCCATCGATGGGTAAGCGACCCTTTAGCCCAACCATGTTCAAGAACCATGCCAAACAGCGATGGGAAATTCTACCCATCGCTGTTAAAGCCTTGGTCCAACATCAACACAAGGCAGAATGACATTACCCAACGATGGGGACCATTACCCATCGATGGAAACCCAACGATGGGAAGACATAACCATCATTGGGAAGGCATGACCGTTGGAAGTCATTTAAGGTTGATTCTTTCGTTGTTTGGAAGTCAACCTCCCACCCAGCGATGGGAAGCATGTACCCATCGATGGGTAGGTGACCGTTGGCTTCAAAACTGAAGGAAAATTGGCTTACCAGCGATGGGTAAGTCCATACATCGCTGGGAAGCTAATATCCTGCAGATCCTCATTTTCATCAACCCCATAAATCAAGCAAATCACCCCTTTAATGCATTGGTCTGTTGGAGCCTATTTTGGCACTATAAAAAGGGGTGTTTGGGTCTGTTTTTGTTCATCAATTCACTTCACAACTCTCTTACTTTCATTGCATTCAAACAACATTCTTTTCATAGCTTTTTAGAGCCAATTCGTGTGAAGTTTGAGTTGTCCTTAAGCGTACTTAGTTTACTCAATATCTACTCTAAAAGAGAGTCTCGTTCTTGAGTGTATTTGTGTTTTAAGACACGTTGAGAGAAAGTATTTCTCTCGTTTGATTCGAAGGAAGGGCTGTTTCCTTTGAAGGATTCGTTGAGGTTCGTGTGACTCGAATTTTCAAGTTGTAAGAGTTTGTTAAGCACCGTTAAGCTTAATGAGATAGTAGTATAGCTCGAGAGAGTCTCTTGGGAGGCTGGATTAGCCACAAGTTGTGGTGAACCAGGGTAAGTTCGGTGTGCCTCTTACTCTTCTCTTTACTTCTCTTTTGAATTTTTAATTCCTGCGATTTCTACGATCAAACGTTATTCACCCCCCCTCTAGCGTTGGTCTATTATTCTAACAATTGGTATTAGAGCCTAACTCGCGCCCAAACTTAACCGTTTGAGAATAAAGCGATCATGGGTTCTTCTTCTAGAAATCTTTATGTAGGGATCGGAGAAGGTCAATCAACTTCTAGGCCATCACTCTTTGATGGCACCAACTACACATATTGGAAAGAGCGGATGAAAATTTATATCCGCTCAACCAACTTCCAGTTGTGGTTGGTCATCAAGAACGGCGAAGAAACGCCAATGAAGAAGGTTGGTGAAAAACTCGTCCCAGAGACCGAGGACGAATTTGATGTCGAAGACATCAAAAAGGTGGAGAACTACGCCAAGGCAATCAACATGCTCTATTGCGCTGTCAACCCCGATGATTATCGCAAGATCTCTTGCTGCACCACCGCCAAAGAAATGTGGGACAAGCTGGAGGTCACATATGAATGTACAGACCAAGTTTGGGAAGCCAAAATTGACTTCCTAACGTAGGAGTACGAAATGTTTAAGATGAAGGAAGGCGAAAAGATCGATGACATATTCGATCGGTTCTCAAAGATCATGAACGACCTTCATGCTCTCAAGAAGACTTACGCCAACAAGGATCTCGTGAGGAAAATCCTGCGGAGTCTCACACCCAAATGGAGATCAAAGGCTGACGCAATCTACGAATCCATCGGAGTCTCCAACGTCACCATCGATGGGTTAAGAGGTAACCTCAAAACTTATGAATATACTATTCTAACCCCGTCTTTGGATGAACAAAAGAAGAAAGGAATAACGCTCAAAGCAACCAAGAAGACGGTGGAAGAAGTCTCAAACGATGATGACAACGAGTTTGGACTCGTCATCAAGAAATTCTACAAATTCATGAAGAAGGAATTTGAGCGTAAAGGAAGAAAGCACGACGGTCCCTTGAAGTGCTATGGCTGTGGCGAGATAGGCCACATCAAGCCGAGATGTCCAAAAGGAAAAAACGGCAAGGACGAACCCAGCTTCAAAAAGCAACGAGCCTATATCTCATGGGCTGGCGACTCCGGTAACAAGTCAACTGACCAAGAAGAGGAAGAAACCGCCAACCTCTGTCTCATGGAACACGAAGACCACGCCGACAAAGTACAAAAGGTATGTACCACTTCTTCCGACTCTTAAAGTTTTGAAGAGATGCAAGAAGCACTTCGAGAGCTTTACGATGAATTTGTTAGCGCTTCTAAAACTAACAAATCATTAAAGAAACGCCTTTCAACTCTTGAAAACGATTTTGAAAAACTAGAAAAAGATAATGAAAAGCTAAAACAAGAAAATAAATTTTATGAAAAAAGAAGCGCTGACAAACCGGAAAGCTCTTCAAGTGAATGTGAATCTTGGAAAGCTTTAAAAGAAAAGGTTGCAAAATTTGAGAGTACGGTTAAGAAATTCAATACTCCACACAAAGATCTTAACTTACTCCTTGACACTATGCACTTTTCTAAGGAAGGATTAGGTTTTGATAAAAACGAATCTAAGGATAAAAACGTTGAGTAAACACCTAGACAACCTCCTAAGGCTCAACGTAAAAAAGTTAAAAAACAGGATAATAGAAAATCTAGTCAACCTAAGGACACTAGACAACTTAGACAAAAACCTAGGAATGAAAATGTGCATGTTAGACAACCTAGAAAAAATTATCAAAATGAATTTGTGCATAAAAATAATTTTTCAAATAGACAAAATAATGCTAGGACACCTAGAAGAGAAAATTTTCAAAAACCAATACTTTGCCAAAATAGGATGAATATGGTTAGGCCCCGTAGCAACTATTATCAACATAAGAGGATGCACAACCCAAACGTAGTTTGCCACTACTGTAATAGGGTAGGACATAGAGCTCCTGTTTGCTTCACTAGGCATAGGCATTGGGCACAAAATCAATCACACTACCACTTTGCATCTAACACTCAAGGACCCAAAAAGACTTGGGTACCTAAATCTTATTAAATCTTGTTTGTACGTGTGCTTGAAGGCATCGAGTGTACTTTGGTACCTTGATAGGGGATGCTCCAAGCACATGACCGGAGATGCATCCAAGTTCCTACAAATTAAACCTGCTAAAGGAGGAAACATAATTTTCGGAGACAATAGCAAGGGAAAGATTATCGACATTTGTTCGGTAGGTAAATCTAAGAACTCCTCTATAGATAATGTCTTGCTAGTTAGGGGTCTTAAACACAATCTCTTGAGCATAAGTCAATTATGTGATAGGGGAAACCGTGTGACCTTCAATTCAAAATCATGCACGGTAGAACGTCTTAATGACAATAAGGTCGTTCTACGTGGTGATAGAATCGATAATATATATGGTTAGCTTAGACAAATGTCCTTCCAGCTTTGCTAGGTGCCTCATGAGTAAAGAGGAAGACACTTGGTTATGGCACCGAAGGGTAGCTCATATGAACATGAACCTTTTGAACATATTGGTTTCACAAGACTTAGTAATTGGCATTCCAAAACTTAAGTTTGAAAAAGACACCATATGTGATGCATGTCAAAAGGGGAAGCAAGTTCGGGCTTCGTTTAAGCCTAAGAACATTGTTTCAACGTCTAGACCGCTTCAACTTTTGCACATGGATCTCTTTGGTCCTTCTAGAACGAAAAGTTTTGGTGGTAATTACTTTGTGTTTGTGATTGTCAATGACTACTCTAGGTTTACATGGACCTTGTTTCTAACTCACAAAAGTGAGGCATTTCACGTTTTCAAAAATTTTCTAAAGAAAGTTCAAAATGAAAAAGAAACAACCATAGTAGCCATTAGAAGCGACCATGGGGGAGAGTTCGAACGAAATCTATTCTCAGATTTATGTGACGAACTCGGCATTGATTATAATTTCTCAACCCCACGTACACCACAACAAAATGGAGTGGTGGAACGTAAAAATAGATGTCTCGAAGAGATGGCTAGAACTATGATCAATGAGGCAAAAATCCCTAACACTATGTTTGGTTCAAGGAATTTGAAAAGGAAAAGAAAAGAAAATGAAGTGGAAAACCATTTTTCTTGTTTGGTTAGAGGGGAAAAGAAAGGAAAAGTGGAAGGAAAAAGAAAATGAGGAGGCAAAGTGTACCAAGTGGAGGGAAAACAAAATTCCCTCCATTTTGGTGAGGACAATGAGAGAAAACTATTTTCTTTTCTTTTCCTTCCAAAATCCTTGAACCAAACATAGTGTAAGTATTTTTGGGCGGATGCCGTGAGTACCGCGAGCTACGTGTTAAACCGAGCCGTCATTCGACCTATACTCATGAAAACGCCTTATGAAATATACAAAGGGAGAAAGCCAAACCTTTCCCATCTTCGAGTCTTTGGTTGCAAATGTTTTATTCATAACAATGGCAAAGATAACTTAGGCAAATTTGATGCCAAGTCGGATGAAGGAATTTTTCTAGGTTACTCTCTTCGTAGCAAGGCCTATAGAGTCTTCAATAAACAAACCTTGACTATTGAGGAGTCCCCTCACATTTTATTTTATGAAGATAACCCTCGCTTGGCGAGAAAGGATATTTGTGATGATCTTGCAGATTCGCTTGAAAGAATTCATGTTGAATACGATGAAGAGAACGCGGGAATATACACTAACACGCAGCCGCCAATTGGGGAGACGCCTCAAGCAACCAACCAAGGTGAAGAAGAAAATCAAGAGGAAGAAGAAGAACAAGAGGAAAACGAAGAAGAAGCAACCGAGCTTCCCATTGCATGGAGAACGAACAAGAACCATCAGCTTGACCAGGTAATCGGTAGCATCAACCGCGGGGTAAGTACTCGTAACTCACTTAGGGACACCGTAGGAAACATGGCTTTTGTTTCTCAAATTGAACCTACAACCATTTCCGAAGCAATAAACAATGGACATTGGACCTTGGCTATGCAAGAGGAGCTAAACCAATTCAAACAGAATGACGTTTGGGAATTGGTACGAAATGGGTGTTCCGTAACAAACTTGATGAAAATGGAATAATCACTATAAACAAAGCTAGGCTTGTAGCTAAATGCTACAATCAAGAAGAAGGCATTGATTTCGAAGAAACTTATGCACCCATAGCACGTTTAGAAGCTATTCGTTTACTTCTTACTTTTGCTTCGTCTATGGATTTTAAACTTTATCAAATGGATGTTAAGAGTGCCTTCCTCAATGGTTTTATTCAAGAGGAAGTGTATGTTGACTAGCCCCCGAGGTTTGAAGACTTTGAGTTTCCCGACCATGTCTTCAAACTCAAGAAAGCACTCTACGGCCTTAAACAAGCACCCCGTGCTTGGTACGAACGTTTGAGTAAATTTCTTTTGGATAGTGGTTTCCAAAGGGGAAAGGTTGACACTACACTTTTTATCAAGAGTAAAAACAATAACATCCTTTTGGTTCAAGTTTACGTAGACGATATTATATTCGGTGCTACTAACGAGTCTTTGTGCAAGGAATTCTCAACGCTAATGACAAGCGAGTTCGAAATGTCGATGATGGGCGAGCTCACGTTCTTTTTGGGACTCCAAGTCAAGCAAATAAAAAAAGATGGCAAGTTCATTTGACAAACTAAATATTGCAAGGAATTCCTAAAACGGTTTGAAATGGACAACGCCAAAGCCATGGTGACCCCGATGAGCACGTCCGACCATCTCAAAAAAGATGAGAAAGGTAAGGAAGTAGAAGTCAAAAAGTATCGAGGTATGATCGGATCCCTTCTCTATCTTACCGCTAGTAGGCCGGATATCATGTTTAGTGTATGCCTTTGCGTAAGGTATCAATCATGTCCGAAGGAATTGCACTTAACGGCGGTGAAATGGATCATGAAATACCTTGTTGGCACGGTTAACGTTGGACTGTGGTATCCAAAAGGCTCTTCTTGTCATCTCGTTGGTTATTTCGACTCGGACTTTGCCAGTTGCAAATTGGACCGTAAAAGTACGAGTGGACTTGCCACTTACTTGGTAGCTCTTTAGTTTCATGGTTTATTAAGAAACAAGTCAGTGTTGCGTTATCTACAACCGAAGCGGAATATGTTGCCGCTAGTAGTTGTTGTGCTCAAATCCTTTGGATAAAGCAACAACTCGTGGACTATGGCCTTAGTATCAATCACGTTCCACTTCGTTGTGACAATACTAGCGCCATAAGCTTGACGAAGAACCCCGTTCTTTACTCAAGGACGAAACACATTGACATTAGGCATCATTTCATCAGAGATCATGTTTTCAAAGGTGATGTCGAAATTGAGTTTGTTGAAACACACAACCAATTAGCTGACATTTTCACATGCAAAACCTTTAGAGAAAGAGTCGTTCTTCCGCATTCGTAGTGAACTCAGAATCCTTAACTCCACGATGATCTAATTTGTGCAGTTTAATACTCTTTTATCTCTATTTGAACGTTTACTAACTTGAGCGTCGGAGGGTTTTCTAACTCTTTTTTGCAGGGACAGTTCGAAGTGAAGAATTCTGGAAGTCAGGGGGAACCAGCGATGGGTGGGTTATACCATTGCTGGGAGGGAAGTTTATCTTTTCCAGAACTCCTCTTCTCATCGATGAGGACTTCTTCCCATCGATGGGTGTTTGACACCTTTTTTTAAAACACTTAACGGACTTCCAGAAACCCTTTACCCATCGATGGGTATTTTATCCCATCGCTTGGTGAATGACTTCTGTTAGAAATTTTTTCCCAGAACCTCCCCACCCATCGCTGGGAACATCCTCCCATCGTTGGGTGTTTGACACAACTTTTTAAAAATTTTTTTAACGGATTTCCAGAAGCCACCTTCCCATCGATGGGAGAATCCAACCATCGCTGGGAAGGCAAACTTGTTTTTCTTCTCGCTTTCCAGTAGCGACCCTCCCATCGATGGGTAGTTCTTACCATCGCTGGGAAGGCTGTTTAAATTCAAAAATTATGGCCGTTGGGCACCGAATTTAATGCCCAACAGCCATATTTTTTGAATTCACACGGTTTCATCCTCCTCTCCCTATATATTCACATCATCCTTGACCTTCTTAACACACCATTAACATCATAATTTCATTCCTTTAGCCTATTCTACTTATTTCATCAATCTTTCTTCAAAAACGCTTCAATCATGGCCGGAGGAAAGTCCAAGAGCAAAGCTTCCAAAAAGAAAAGCACCGTCGAAGCCTCAAGCTCTACGCCCCCGCCGTTTCCCTACCTGGACGGATCCTTCTTGGAGTTCGGGTCGGAGGAGGAACTCACCTGGTTCCTCACGCACTTCGCCAAGCGTCCGATCTGTCCGCCTCGCGTGCTCCTGGAGTTGTTTCCCTAACAAAAGGGGTACCACGACCTCGACAACCAACTCCAAACGTCGGGTTTGTGGCCCTTCGTCTCCAAGAGCCACACCTCCTACAATCCCGCCTATGTCTGGGCATTCTACTCCAATCTCCGCCATGACGGGGACATCATCCGCAGCAGCATCAATCTCTACGACATAGAGATTGATTCCTTTGCTCGGGTCGCAGGGCTGCCCATCCGCGGTGACGGCATCGCGACGTACGGTGGCGATGATTGGATCCTCAACAATGAGGCGACTTGTACTTATACTCCGACTTAATTTAAGGTCATCCCTACTTTTGTTGGAGTCATGATTATTCATATTGGATCAGTAGGTCATGCTCAACCAACAAAGGAGTTCTCCATTAGGTGGGTGGAATCTCCGCCTGATGGATCACGAGGTAGTTCAAGGATACATGTACGTATGTTTTTACCTGACTCTACCATTCCACTGCACCACATGGCATTACTCTTAATACTATCGCTTGAGTTGGTCCTAGAAATCCTTTAGGTAGACTTCCCATAGTTCACGGAGTTGGATCAACGCCCATGTAACCCGTGTTTCGTGTGCTGGATCAGCCCACTCTTACCATTAGATTCAAGGTTGGATCAACCACAGCAATTCTGAAATTCAAAATCGACAACGTCACAAGTACCTCACATATATCAATCGTGATAACAATTATGAGCAGGAATTTCAAACCTAGATGCATATTCTAGTGTCAGATGTCCACGTACTCACCTCGATAGATCTGATTTAGTTTAAAGAGTAAGTCACCCATAACGTTGCTAGGATTTTATCGGAGAATCGTCAGCTAATTATTGTTTCCCAGAACTAACTGCCATTGCCCGGACTTCCCGTCGCTACCTAACTGGTGCCGGAGTACCGTTTATGGTGCTCGTGTCAAGCCTCTTTGACCAAAGTAGCTTGGACATTGCTAGGAAACCATCGCCACCACTGCAAGTCCTTGGGGCGAAGATGTCTATGTTGGGTCCGCTTGCTATTGTTCCTAGATGCCATTAGAAGTCGCCAACGTCGTTGGTAGGATTAGCCACCAGAGATCACCGAAAAGAGAAGGATTGCAGCGACCGAAGAAGAACAAAGACGGAAGAAGGTTGGCATTGTTCAACGAAGAATAAAGAAAAGAACAAGATCAAACCTAAGCTATTACTCCATATACTCCGTATGTATTACTCCCTCTATCTAAAAGTTATCTTCCCATTCACTATTCAGGGGTCAAACGTTTTTCATTTTGTTGACTTATTTTCGTTGCCCATTTGATAGAATTATATAGTTTTGTAGATCTTTTGATATAGTTTTTAAAGATGTAATTTTTATTTTTTAATTCAACACAATATTTCATAAAAATTGATTTGAAAATAACTTCAGTTAAACATTGTAACACAACAACGGGAATATAATTGTTAGACGGAGGGAGTATTTATTATTGTTGTTGTTGTTGTTGTTGTCTTATTATTTAAATCTGTTCTTTTATTTATTTTACTGTAACACCTATTTTGTGCATAACTTTTTATAAATAAGTCCAAACTTGCCAAACTATATATGTGCCGTTGGTTATCTTTTTTACGAGATCTACCCAATGACCTAATTTTAAGTATAAAATTTCAACATTATGAATTACTTATTTTTATTGATATGATCGTTATTTTTATTACATCAATCCATCATATGATTCAAACCGCATACGGATGATTAAAATACTCATATTAAATTTTAATCCTTTAAAAGACTTACTTTCGTAAATAAATAAAACTTATATATTTCCAAAATAGCGATGAACTACTAGACCAGTTTCTCGGACTTTACAGTGGATACTGCATTATGCGATTCATGTGGCTCACCGTTAATATGTGTTCCTAGGCTTCCATATTGTTCGCCGGTGTAAGTTTGTTTTAGCTTATTATTGTAACTAAGATGTTTGTTTTATGATATAGAATAGGAAAATGCTAGAGTCACAAACAAATAGTTTACAAACTTAACAATTTTACCTTTTGTGGATTTTAAATTATCATACCTTTTATTATTTGAGTGCATCTTATTTTTTAGAAAATGTTAAAATGGCAAGTCCTTGAATTTTGTGAACTGTTTGCTTGTGACTCTAACATTACTCTATAGAATAAAATCATTAAACTTCTTCTTTATGATTATTTTGGATTTGTTGCAAATGTTTTAGTCATTGTGAAAGATACATTGAATGTGGTTTTTAAGTTGTTCTAGGTGTTTGACTCTACTGTGGCATATAAGTATTACAAGAGGTGGCAATCGGATCAACCGGATCAGTTTTGGGTTGGATTTTTTCGGTTCGGATATCTTTCAGTTATATGTTATAATCGGTTCGGTTCAGATTGGATCGGTTAAATTTCGGTTCGGATTTGATTCGGTTCGATAAATTTTTTGGTTTAGTTCGATTTTTAATTGGTTCAGATACGGTTCGGTTATAAATCGGTTCGGATAGATTTCGGGTTCGGATACAATTTAAGTCAGATATATTTTGGTTTTGGGTCTAGTTCGGTTCGGATATATTTCGGTTTCGGATCAAATATATTTTGGATATATATTATTTTCTAATTGAAATTTAACTATCAATATTTATTTTTATGTTTTATCACATTTATCTATCATCAATTCAATACCTCATATTATTTTTTATATTTTTCTAATTATATTATCTCTAACCTAAATAATCTTCCCTTTTTGACTTTTTAGTCATATCTTACAAATTTGGACTATAAATTGTGAAAACATATATATTTAATTATGATATGAATTTTATATAATTAAATTGATTTTAAAATTTAGTTTTGAAATATCAAACTTTTCTCACAACTACTAATATACTTATGCTTATAAATGCAGAGATAAGAGATAAATTCAAATAGTGTTATGTTCCATTTTAATATAATTTGGGTGCAAAATTTATAAATTATTGAGTGTATTTTGTTGAAAATAGATTAAATTAAATTTAATAAAGTGAAATATAATTAATTTTACACTTAAATGTAATGATGTAAATCAAATTTGAAAATGATAACACTAAATGCTGTTACTAGAGTCTTTTCAAAATGTTAACACTAGCATCTAATTTTATTGACTAATATTGAGTGAATTGGTTTGAAACTAATCAGATTTACTCTTAAATCAATAAAATTTATTATAATGGGATGAAATCAGGATAAAATCTAGTTATTCCATACAATTCGTCATATAATTCTTTCGTCTAAAAAAGAATATCACACTTCACTATTTAAAAATTATGGAAGTTTTATTTGTTTGTGCGTTATCATTTATATGTATAACTTATCTTTAATTTCTATATATAACAAATTTAAGGCATGAAATTTTGTACTTTTTTCAAGAAGATAATCCATTTTATGAGGGAATGATCAAGTAATATAATTAGCTCAAATGGTAAAATAAAAGTAAAAATTTAAAAATATAATATGCTTATTGAAAGAAAAACATAGTTCCAAATTTATCGATGTAGGTTCTAATCGGTTTCGGATATAATCGGTTTCGGATCTAATCGGTTTCAGATTTTGTCGGTTTCGGGTATTATCGGTTTTGGATCTAATCGATTTCGGATTTAATTGGTTCGTATATTATCGGTTTCGGATCTAATCGGTTTCGGATTTAAATCGGATATGAATTATTTAGTTCGGTTTCGGTTCAATTCGGATCATTTTGGGTTTTCGGTTATAGATCAGATATTTATTTTTCGGGTCATTTTGGTTTCAGTTTCAGATATTTCGGTTTGGATAATCGGTTCCGGTTCTGTTTTGCCAGGTCTAAGTATAACCAACTTGAAGAGATTAGAAAATTCTCTGCCTGCTGTTTTCCTGATGATTTAGTTTAAGTTCTCATGCATATGACTTTATCGTTGGTTTGTTGTGTTTATTTTGTAAGTGCGAATCTCTTAATGGTCATTTTATTAGTATATACTCCCTCCGTCCCAAATTATAATGCCTGTTCACTATTCACAGGGTCAAACTTTATTCACTTTCTTTCTCTATTTTCGTTAGTAATTTGATAAAATAAAATATTGTTGTCACTACTAGTTTTGTAGATCTTTTGATGTAGTATTTTGATATGTAATTTTTATTTTTTAACTCTATACCATTTGTTATATAAAATGATTTGAAAATAACTTCAGTCAAACATCGTAAACTGAAACAGGCATTATAAAATGAGAGGAGGGAGTACTATTTTTGTTATTTTGTTAGCTTGTAGGAATCTACTCCGGGGTATTTTGTAAAATTATTGCAGGTTTAGTTAAAGCGTAAAATTATTGTAGGTTTAGTTAAAGCGTATGTATTGCGTCGCGTTGATGCTTAATTGAAGTGAATATAATTGATCATTATTATGTAGTGGTGCAAAAAATATTTGCACTTTCCTGTTAAAATTTGTTATGTTCTGTGTTATTAAAAACATGCATCTACACTTTGAGGTTGAAAATGGGCTATTTAAAAAAAAATAGAGCTTTTGTATCGGTTATTCATTAATAACCGATTCAAAAACTCTTTCCAAAAATTAGCGTCAAAATTGGGAAAGCCTTTATAACAGATGCAATAGTCTTTCCAAAAATCAGCACCAAAATGGGTTAGACATTTTGCATCGGTTGTTTGCAAAGAACCAATGCAATAGGGTCTTCCTAGTTTGGACACTTATTTCTAGAAAGACCTTTTGCATTGGCATTTTGGCACTTATTTTTGGGAGGATCTTTTTGCATTGGTTATTAAGGAATAAGCGACGCAAAAGGGCTTCCAGAGTGCGAAAAATGGGTGCATAAAGGGTCTTTTGCAACGGTCAAATAACCAATGCAAAAAGTTTTGCAGTGATTGCATCGCAAAATTTTGCATTAGTAAAGAACCGACTCAAAAGGTAAACAACTAATGCAAAATTTACTTTTTGTAGTATTGAAAACAACTTTTCAACAAAGCCACCCGTGCACCTGTTCCAAATTTTTTGCATATTCACTTGTGATATCCATAACAAGTTCAATAGCACCTAGATTTACGTACTAGGAATATATATCAACCACTCTTTCTGAGTTTAGAAGAGTGCATGCATGCATTTCCTAGCTAATTAAGGAGTTGTGCAATATTTTGTGGAGAAACCTAACATCATTGGCCCCAATATAATAATGGTGGCGCGTAGTCGTGTTATCTAGAATCCATCCATGGTGAAGAATCATCAATCCACTGACCCCGTGTTTGATTACTTTCTAATTATTTCCTTTTGCGATTTGGTATAGGTACCTCTCTCTTGCAGGTGAGTCCGCATCTCCTATCCATTCGTAGTTCTTGAGAATAAGAGAGTATATAAAATTAATTAGCAGATCAGATCAAATATGCAATGTTATCCAACTTTGAGCTTGCTCATTAAAAAAATGATGATAATAAAATTATATATTCTTACCGCAAAATCTGCTTGAGCCTTCATCCCTTCCAAGATATTCACTGCAGATGGCCTTTCCCATGGCTTCGAACTAGTCATCTTCTTGATGAGAGTAATTGCATTTTTGTCTGCATTTCCTCCCATGCATTTTGGTATTCGTCGAGCTGTCCTAAACTTATTAACTTTGGATTCCATGCTTGAATTTTTGGCCCACACATGAGTGTGCAACAACATCCTGAAATATACTAGGCCAAGACTATAGATGTCCGCAGCCTCTGAAATCCTTTTTCTCGGCCTCATCTCAGGTGCCATATATGATGTATGCCCCTCTGCCTCGGAGACTCTACTCTCTTTTTCACAATCGACTAGGTGTTTACCTTAAAAAAGTTAAAAAACATTAGCAACCTGATATTTTCCAAATCAAAGTTGTTGTGTTAGTCAAAGTTGTAGTGTTTGCGGGGACACTACCCACCTAGTCCAAAGTCACCAAGTTTTGCATTTTTCTTATCATCCATCAAAATATTAGCGGGGCAAATGTCTCGATGGAGAACTCTTTGCTCCGACAGATAGGCAAGAGCCTCCAGAAGCTGGATAAAAATTCTGTCCGCCAAGCTCCGCTCAATAATGCCCTCTTTCTTTAGGTATTCATCTAGTGAACTGTGATTGTTGGGAATTAAAAGAAACAGTAAGCAATAATGCTCAACAAATAGTCCTCTAAAAATCATAGCATCCCATAACTAAACCCATAATCAACAAATTATTGCCTTGGACAATATTCCATCTGAACATGGAGCACACCCGATTCCAGCCAAGACTGAATGTTAGAGAGTATATGAAAGAAAGATAAAACATCAATACATATTTTGAGTGGCAGTAAGTATAACACTTTGAAATAAGCATAACACTTATGAAAAAAGTGTTAATCTTACATCATAAAACTTTACAATATGTGGATGGTCCATATCAGACAGTATATACGCTTCCCGTGTATATACATAAGTAAGAATCTGCAGCCACAAAGTTGTTACATTCTTGGTTTAGAGATCAGATCTGAAATGGACAATATAGAAAAATTAGATGGAATAGATGATGTAGAGAAGGAGATGAGAAGATATAACAAGAACAGAGGAGGGAAAGTAAGCATAGCACATTAGAAAGATAGAATGCGGCAGTACATCTGCACATATAGTAGTTGTAACCATGGTAGCTTAGCTAAATTCCACTTAAACCCTAAGCTCCTAAACTCACGACCTTAGACCCTAAACTATTATTCTAAGAAGCTAAGACAAGCTTATAAAAGAGAAACTAACGGATGATAATTGATTCAAAATAGTAATGTTATTTTAAAAAAACCTATACCTTCTTGACAGCATATAGTTGTTGATCAATCTTGTGGCGGCAAAGAAAAACTTTACCGAAACCTCCCTCACCTACATAACCATGCATGTAACAAACGACTTGAGATACATCAACCAAGTAACTATTTCATATAAATATATAATGCAATAATAGCAAAAGCCACACATGATATTGTCATAATGTCATCATAGATATTTTATTTTCTTTTGTTCAAATAATGCAAGAACTAAAGCCACCTTATTGTATTATTATCATTGCATGCTTCCAATTTTGAGACAATGACATATCTGAAGTACTTCTTTAATTAAGCTAAACAACACAAACAATTTGATAGGATTCAAATAAAAAAATACTACCTAGTTTAGAGAGCTCAGTAAATGTCTGTTGATAGCGGGAAACCTAAAGAAATTGGTGAATATCTTAGCTCAATCAACAATAAACATATTGATATAAGAAAATATCAATATTCCGAAATATACCTCAAACTTGGTGTCACCTTGACCGGATGCCCAATTTTTCTTTTCATTGTAGGAAGCCTCGCCTGTTAGTATAGCATAGCATAGATATGAATTCACAACATACTATTGAGAGAGACTAACGTAGTGTAGTAAATTGAGTGATTAAAGGAAGGATGATATGGAGTTCTAAAGTATGCCAACCACTTGGAAGAAGTGTTGTTATTTGATCGGAGAATTACAATCTAGTTGAATAAAAGAAACATTCATAATTAGCATTCAGAGAATCAGTCAAGCAGGCTCATTCATGCATGACTAGTAACTGCTACAAGTATCAGTTGTAGGCATCTTCCTAGCATGAAGTAATTCTGCAAATCAAATAAACATACATCTTATAACAGCTCTTATCTGAAGTAAATACCTTCACCGCCAATGCCTGATCGGCTGTTGTATGGTTGAGCACCATACCGAGGCCTGCAACCCACCGCCGCAATAGGCCTAACAATTCTGCAACTTGAAAGCTGTCTAAGCAGAGCATTCATCCTGACTCAGAGCTGTGGATGTTGAAAGTAATTTTATTGGTTTACTACACAAATTTATTAATTTTACAACAAAACCCAATTTCAGTAATATAGAGAGCACTAGTAGGGGTGTTAATGAGTGGCTCGTTAGCTACTCAAGATTGGCTCGGTCAATACATGAATTCGAGTTTGGATGGATATATTCGGCTCGTCTAAAAAACTATAGACCACATTAAACCAATATGAATGTCAACAAACAATTATCCAAGATTCGAACAACAATTCATGACATAATCCAAAAGTCTAATCACGTCCAAAACAATTTCACTGTATATTCCATCAAAGTTCACACAACAATACATTACGTAATAAGACTCAAATAACACATAAATATAGGGTTTATCAACTTTGAATATCTAATTTCAAGCATCCAACCTCTAATCATTTTACCCAAAAAAAAACCTCTAACCATTCCTTGAAGTTTGGACCTTAGAAGTCGAGCTTAATAAAGCCGAGATTGATCTCGGCCAAACAAGTTTTGAGTCAAGTTCAAGCCTGAAACTCTGAGCTCGAAAGAGCTCGAGATCAGCTTATTTGAGGCTGGTCTAGTTCGAGCAGCCTCATACTCTACTCGTTTACACTCCTACAGAGCAGGCAGCTTGAATACTTGGCATACTCACGGACAAAATCAAACGAATAATCGGTGACCTGAGAGATTCTAATCAGACGGAAATCCCGCTATGGCTCGCAGCGGATGTTCTCCTGATCAGCTCTCGCCTGCCATTACACAAAATCATCGTCACAGCATCAGTTATTTGCGATGTCGCATACAATAGAAGATCAACCATCAAGTAGGAGTTGGAGACCACTACGCCATACCCTCGTCAGAGCTTACCTGTTCAGATATCAAAATTAGGGCAGATGGCAGGACTCAAATTACACTACTCTTATACCCCGGAGTAATACTCTTGGAACTTTGTTTTCTTATTTTAATTACTTATTTCATAAAAGAATATAATTTTTCAGCTTTAGTTTTATAAAAATTTTCATATACTTTTTTATTACATATATTTCAATTTTAAATTTTATGCGTACAATTAAATAAATTAAATTGAAAATAAAGTTGGTCAAAACTCGTAACGCACAATCAAAATATCTTTGGTGGATGGAGGGAGTATTATACAACCAGCTATTAGGCCTAGACACGGTACCGGTACGGTACTATTACCGGCAACGGTACCGCCGGTACCAGCTACCGTCACCGCCGGCCGTTACATCACCACGGTTCCGGGAACCGGTACCGGCACTGCCCCCCTCACAGAGGATCAGTCAAGCAGGCTCACACAACAATACATTACGTAATAAGACTCAAATAACACATAAATATAGGGTTTATCAACTTTGAGTATCTAATTTCAAGCAGCCAGCCTCTAATTATATCACCCAAAAAAAACCTCTAATCATTCCTGGAAGTTTGCACCTCTTATATATCTAAAGATAAATCAAAGACACCAAACCAATATGAACGTCAACAAACAATTATCCAATGTTACAATTTTATTGCATGATAGAAAACAGATTTTTCGGGTTGGTATCGGGACAGTCTCCATCGATTTCCCTTTTTGTGCTCACCCCTACGTCAAAGTGTCAACTGTTGCTCCACCTTCCTGCAACAATTCTTTGTATAAAAAAAAACAGAACTATTCCAAATAAACATTAAAGAATATCTAGGTAGACCAAGAAACATATATTCAGAAAGAAATAAAAAAAGAATGGACATTTTACATGAACATGATTATGGGAGTAGGATTTCCTGGAGAAGGAGGATTTAAATCTGCAAGGTCACTGGCTCTGTCTGTTAGAGCATTTAGGTCATTTACAGAGCAGAGTTGCATATTTTCAACGCCAGCTTGTGTCTTGATTAGCTCTAAGTTTTCTTCAAGTAACTTCATCTCTTCAAAAGGTAGTTTCGACTCCAAAGCTCCAATGCCAAATTCAGAAGTCTCATCTTGCTTGAATCTTATAAAAGGCATGCAAAGCTCCAGAGGCTGAGATAGAGAGCTCTTTTCCAAGGCATTCATTATTTCTCTATTGGGTGCAAAACAACCTTTCTCCTTATTATACTTGCCCCGCAATATTTTCAAGCATTCTGCGTTCCATCCATCAAATTCCTCTTTCACAACCACTACAACTACCACCCCCAACTTCTCCGCATTGCTTCCCTTCTTTGACATTTTTTTACGAAGCAATTTTCTTATCCGGGATATCAACTCCTGCATATACTTATTCGCCCACTTAAGATTTAAATCTGGCTCTTCAGCTTTAGGCCAACCCGACGCTTTAACTACGAACCCTTCTTTCTTTAAAAGTGTCCTCCAAACATACTCAGCAAAATGAGGACATATAGGTGTGATAAGACGGACTTGGACATCTACAAATCGCAACAGGAGATCACGGTTCATCCTGGTCGGACCACACATCAATCTGTATTCATCTCGCGAAGCTTGAAGATTGTAAAACCCCGTCTTCAGAGCCTCACGGAACATGTAACGCTCATAGTTGACTTTTGTATTTCTTACTGCAATATTCATCTCATTATTAAAAACCCGATCTGCAAATGTATATTTACCTCCTACCCTTAAAGACGACTCGGTGGTATCCATGACCTCTTTGATCCATGAGAGTTCTTTAGTAAGCCGCAAAACTGCAGCATTGGCAACACTTGACGAAAAATTTGCATCATCAAGACCATCACCAGCATCAGCTAGAGCAAATCTGATGGCATCAGCACCGTACTCTCCAAGACTATCGCGCAAAGTCATGAAGTTCCCATTACCCTTGGCCATTTTCTTAGCATTCAACATGAGGTGACCATTGCACCTGAAGCCACGAGGCCAATGGTTCTTGGGCAAGAGTGCCGTGTGATTGTATATGCAGAACATTAAATGATTTTGAATAAGATCCTTGCCTGAAACCCTGAGATCAAAAGGATACCAGTATTCAAACTCTTGTTTCATCTGATTGAGAACTGAAGAAGGAATATCAGAGGATTTAGGGTATGGACCGCTACTAAAAACGAAGTCCCAAACATCGCCTGTCATTTGTTCGGGTCTTATGGATGAGTTCGATCGTGAACCATAAATATCACCTCCATGCAGAAGATGAGAAACAGTGTAGTAAGCCATATATAGAGAAGAATCAGAAAGTGACTCCACAAGAAACTGTTCATCCCAAGGGATCCGAGTTCCAAGCCCAAATGATCGTGAGCATGCCCATTTGTTAAGCCAACTTAATGAATGCTCAAACCAGTGTCTAGCTTCGTCAGAGTATAATTTCATGCTCAACAAGCATTCCTCGGCCATTTTCTTCCACTCAACTTCACCATATGTGATAAACCATTGCTCTGTCAAAGCCACAATGCATTCATCACCGGATCTTGATATGACTTGACTCGCCGGTTCGTAATATAGAATTGCTTGCTGTGTTTCAATCAGTGATTTGCTGATCAGTGGCTTTACTATGTTGATTCGCTTTCCCGCATATTCCCCAACAAGCAGCTTTCCCTCGAGTGAATCAATTAGTTTTGCTGCTTCTTCAAGCTTCACCTTTTCATTCTGACTAATAATTTTCATATCCTTACAAACTTTCTCTGCAGCAGCTTCATCACCAAACCCGTCAACAAATATGATCGGTGTAATCTCTAACGGAAGCACCCATTCATCTTTCAAGGCATACTTGTTTCTAAGATTAGGCTTCATTTTCAAGTTGTGCAACCAGATGTAATCGAGGGGCACATCACTAGGTACACTGGTTAGAATTCCTGTTCCCTTGTCAACAATCTGGGTGTTCGTTGTTGCCGGCATTGGAAGAACATAAAGAATTTGGCGAAATGACATTGGGAATTTCAAAGGGAGTCCAATCAAATCATATCCTGTCAGCTCGAGTAAGCAACTGGTCTGCTCGGGGACTTTAGATAGCCCCTGGTATGCAAGGTTAAGAGCAGCTCGATGGCAAAGCACCAAAACATCAGTATCATTGATTTCAAAGGCTCCGTATCGACCCTCGGGTGACACCCATGCATTTGTCAACCCATACATCGTTTCGGGCCTCGAAGTCAGGGCAGCCAAAAATACATTTTTACCCTCCAAAGCTGCTTTCATCTTCGGAGAATTGAATGGTGCCACCATCTCCATCTTTATGAGGGTGTATTCCTGAGGTTGAACTCCTTCCCCTATTGCTCTGTCATGGTCTGCACATGGTTGACCATCTAAAGGAGAGTATATTGTATGCCGAGCTTCCTTAACTATCTTCCCCATTGATTTCAGCTTGTTCATTTGCCACCTTACAAATGAATCAAAAAATGGGTTTATTTCTGTAGTAACAAAGGACCGTCTCCAGTCACAACCTAACCCGAAGGCCTTAAGATCATCCATGGCAACATGAGGAAAGTAACTCAACCATTTTTGTGGATCTTGAAACTTTGATATTTCATTGTCTTGAATGCCAAGATCATGCATAATCTCCCACTGGTACTTGAGCCTATTATTCTCTTTTATGTTAGGAAAGAGTGGAGGATCACCATACTGTTGGATTTCCCTTGCAATTTTATCAGCTGCTGCCTTGATTGGCATGCCAGTGCAGTGAAAAGCAAATGGCAGCAACACATTCATACCATTAAGTCTATGGTATGCAGCTGCAAATTCGAGCTTTGAAATCGAGAAGCCATGTCCGAGATGTAAGACACCATTCATATAAGGGAAAGGAATATTGCCAAAGAACTTTTTCCTAAGTTGAGGAGGCTCCTCACAAGAATCAGCTTTGAAAACATTGGCTTCTTTCCACCATGTCTGAGCTGTGGACTCAATCTCCAACAATGTGTTTCTTCTTGCATAGCTTATTGTCTCCTTAGTCATCATCCTAGTGATAAAACAACATGGAAGATAATGATGATGATAATAATGACGACAGCATAATAGGCTAGACAAACCTAGAGTTCTGAAAGCCCAAAGTTAACAACTACAACCCGGAAGCAAACGAGCAAAAACCCACTAACAACCTAGCACAACAAGAACATATTAAGCTAGAAACCATTTTCAAGACGGGGAATTTTCTGACATGTGACACAGTGTCAACATGGCACTACGAACCATACCATTTATTCTAATAGAGAAGAGTTCCAAGAATGAAGAATGTATGCTATATGTATTTATGATAAAATGTAATTATGTATATATCATTGCTTGCATAGAATCAAACTTGTCCATCACTAAAGTGAAGAAATGGCAAAGTCAGGCTTATCTAAACCAAGGATCGTACTCATAATGCATATGGTTGTTGTTCCTGACCCAAGCCAAGCTATAGACTGAGATGTGTGATAAGTGCCCTCTTACTTCCATTTCTTTAAAATTAATAGTAGTTAGAGATAATGTGAAGTAAGAATTAATGGATTAGTCATCTTATTTAAATTAGAACTCCTACGTTGAATATTTGTAGACATATATTTTTGAACCATATACGGTGGTGTTTGAATACAATTTCGTAAGAGGCAAACAAATGCACTGATTGGCCAGCAGAAATCTTAAAATTAAATTACAAGTCGATTCAATTTTAAATATCAAGTTAACACAAATTTAAAATGAAGTACCTATGAATGATGTATGTGCTATAGCACAATACCCTCAGCTTGGAATGGAAAAAATGCATCTTTTATTCTGTGTCAAATCGACGACAATTCTCCAGGATCCAAAAGGAATGACCCCTTGCAACTTATTTATGATTCATCACTGCAACCAAATCATTACTCCTCTTATTTTGGTCCATTTTTTCTTATTTTTTCCTTATACAAGGAGTGCTGCATACAAAAAAAACCTTCAAACGGTTAGATTGACCAACAACAGCATTCACCCATCCAATGAGTCAAAGGCGAATAACACACAAGTTGGTCATAAAACATAGAAAGTATAACTGAGCATTAAAAATATTGACAATTTGAAAGTTAAATACTACTATAAGGTCTGCATATAAGTTATATTGTAAACTTCTGTAATTTGAAATAATTATATCAGGGACGGTCCGAAACATATTCTACCTTATAGTTATACAATTTAAATAATTTTCATAATAAATTAATAATTATAGTATTTGTTACAACAAAATGTGAAGAAAAATAATCTAAACAAGTCTATTATTATATCTATAAAAGCACAGTTAATTTTGACATTCCTTGCCAATTTGGCCGCCATTTTGGTTGAATCTAATGTCTTAGAAAGATTTACATACGTGGCTGGATTACAGCCCTTAAACAGGAAAGAATGTATCAAGAACCATACATATTACCAACCGAGGAAGTGGACAATCTTTAAAAAAAACCCGAACAGAATGGATCTAATTGCAGGGTGCAAATCTCTAATCCATCAGCATGTCCCACTATCAAACAGCACAAATGCATTTAATCTTGAATTACCAGCGATAAATTGAATGAATAATTTATTATGTAAGAGTAGAAATTCGTTTCACTACACATTTCATAAGAAGGGCTCTCTTGTTCATTTCACTACACTTTTCATTCTAAAAAAATACAGTGCAGGATTTCTGTACAAGACAATGTCTCCACGATTTTGAGGTATAGCGGATCTAAATTGTACACCGTAAATTTTTTAGGCTTAATGCAAAAACTAATTTTCTCTTTTTGAGTCATTTTTCCATTTCCATAGAATTAATTCCCAAGTATAAGACCATGTTTAATGGGGGTGGAATATATGGGGTTAGTTCGGCTTATACAATATAAAATTTGAGGACTGTAGAAGACAGATGAGATGTTTACTGGTAGGAGTGCATTTCTTGTGATCCAGACGTACTTTAAGCACCATGTCTTTATGATGGACTACCATATCACATGCATATGCACTACATCATGCATAGAAAACTCAATCAGAGATGGATGTGACGAAAAGTTTCATATAAAACGAAGAGTTTTAGGGGGAAAACTAATTAACTTTTCATGTTTATCTTAGTCGCTCTTGTGCGATATACATACGAGATCATATTGCATTACTGTTCCTTACTTGAGCCTCGATGTACCTGAAACTTTCTCAGATCAAGACTCAAGATGAAAAAGAATGTCAACAGTGACAGTCTTTGCCCAAGGAAGAGGAAAAGAGGTTCGGGAGAATGAAAGTAAAATTATTGAGACCAGGCCTCTTAAGTAGTTACTCTGCTGTTTATCAATATATAAAAGAATGTAATTCATTGGCATTTTTAAGTCTCTTCAAGTCTTTAAAAATGTTATAGTAAATTTAAAAATCACATTTTTTGGTAGTTAGCACAGTGAGTTTACATATGAATTTTGAAAGATAACATGGGAGCCTTTAACATTGGTTTTCAATCAAAGAATATATTCAGCAGAAAAGCGCTAAATTTTCCTACTTAAAAATGTATTTAATTTGAAAGACCCATCTGCTCTTTTTTTTAACACCGGGTTCGCAGCACCGATTTTTAAATGCATTAAATTATTAAAATACCCCACTTAGCTTAATTCCATGTAAAGAAAGTGTTTTCCTAGATATAACACTTCCTTTTCAATAAGAACTTGCTTATAGCACAAGGCTTTGATTCTGAACATACAATTGCCCTAAAGGTGGGTTATAGTTAAAGATTGTATTTTTTTATCCAATTTTTATCTTCTACACATTTTATACCCCCCCCCCCACCCAATAAATATCTTATCGTAAATTAAAGTGGCATTTCTGGGTAGTTAGAAATGAGTTTATACAAGGATTTTGAAAAACAATGGGGATGCCTTTGAAAAAAAATTCAATCAAGGAATATATTCAGATTAAAGGTAGTATAATATAATACTTGGTCTTATCACAGACACTGCCCACTGAAATACTGTAAGCTGCAAATTTGACAAAAAAAGACACTAAGATTTATAAGTTCACAATGTGAATCAAAGCAATTAAAGGAGAAAGTGCTTGCAATAGTGACCTATACAACAATTTTTTAAGTTGCTTATCCATGCATCTTTCTAATTAAGATCTACATCAGATGATATTACTTAACTTATAGTCAGGTATTTGCTTGAGTCAATGAGAGGTTGAATACATAACCCGGTAACAATTTATTGACAGAAGAAACTCATATAGCAATCAACTCGAGTTATTTAAATTTGAGTAAATTTTACCTGTGCATAATTGCTGGGATACAAAATCTGTTGAACTTGATTCTCCCGAAATAGTCCCACCTTGAACGCTGTCCTTTGGAGTTGAGCGCGTGTGCCTTTGTTCTATTGCACAGTGCCCAAAAGAATGGATGGCCTAATTTTTTGAGAATTTCATTGTTAGTGCTGTGGCCCAAATTTGATTAATCTCTAGCTCATATGCTACTCCCCAGTCCAGCGCATGCACGACTAGTCCACTACGAAATATCCCAACTCATGCGAAGCCGTTAGCCACAAAGTCACAAACAATCAAGCCGTTGATGAGGCGACAAATGGACAGAGAAGGCCACGAAGGAGGTGGCATGCGACGACAGCGCTCTTGCAGGTCGCGGCTAGTGTTTGCGATTCTCGAATCGGCGGCATTCGGGTGCAATTTCTGAAAAGTGATGCACCCATACCAATTTTGCACCCACTAGATTCGACCCATGTGCGTTGCACGGCAGAAATTTAATATTTAAAAATAGTGATGAATTGTCAAAGAATAATTTTAAAGTTCAAGACAATATTTTCTAGGTTATTTTTTAGGGGTAAGTGGACATAATTAGAAGTATGATTTGAAGTATTTCTTCATTACCAATCAATATCTCCGATATTCCTCCGATCCATTTGTCATACATAAAACTGTAAAATATATTTTACCATGACTGAATATCAATTTTTAAAAGTTAGCCAACATGAGACAATGATTGATAGTAATAATTGGTAGTCTTCTCTAAAATCATGGGAGGCCCGGAGGGTGTGCAAAGTGGCCAACCGCACAGGGCACATTAAAATTTAGGGCACCATATTTTTAAATTTGTTAATAATTTTAAAGAAAAAGTATTCTAAAAATATAAAATATGGCACAAAATGTAAATTTTGGACCGGGCCAATTTTATTTTTTCATTTTTCGGGGCCGGCCCTGTCTAAAATTTAAATGAATTTCTTGTATCTAGATGAGTTAACATAACGAAAGTCTTGAAATAACAACTTTGTCCCCTAAAATTTTGTCAAATTAATTTTTTTTATAATAAAGCAAAATACTATTAAACCTTACAACTCTAGTATGGAGTACTCCGTATATCTTACCCAATTCAAACCTACCAATCATGCCACCCATCCTTTACAGTGTGTTTGGTTTGAGGTAGGGGGAGGTAGGCTGAGGTTAGATTTACACCCTACTTTGTTTGGGAGAAAAAAATGAATTAGATAAGAGGAGGTGAATGGAGGTAACCTTACCTCTTAACACCTCATAACAGTGTAAATTTGGCTACCGCGTTTTCCGCGATCAACCAAGGTCATCGCTTCGCAATCCAACATTTTCCATATCTGCCCCTCCTCTGCTTCGCCTCCAGCCGGACGAAACGTAGCTCCCCTGTGCGATTCTCCCAGATTTGACGCAAGTTTCTTTCTACGGAGTAATTTTTTTAGGTTTTTTTCCTCTTTTTTCAGCTTTCTTTGTGCCCTTGACTTTTTGCTGGTTTTGTTCCATTTTTTCTTTATTTGCTTTTGCTTAAGCTTCTGCTTTCTTTTCCTTTTTCTTTCTATTTTGTGTGTGTATGTTTTTTTCGTGTTCTTTATGGTGGTTTTTTTCTTCTTTTTTTTCATGTTTGTTGTAGTGGTTTTTTTAATGTCTTAAAGTATTCATTTAATTTCGAAATTTTTTATTTAAAATTTAAAAACTTTTCTAATAAATTAAATAAAAAAATGTTTGAAATTGATGCAAAAATAATTTATTACATTTACCTTATAAATAATTGTCAAAATATTAAACAAATAAAGAAAAACAAGTATAAGGATATTTAAGTAATTTTATTATTTATCTTACCTCACATTACCTAGTAAATATCCAAACACAAATTTTCAATTCATTACCTTACTTTACCTACCTTTAATTACCTACCTACAATTACCTACCTAATAAAACTTTACCTACCTCAATCCAAACACACCCTTGAACAATACGGAGAATTCAATACGCAGCACCTACTCGCCGACTTACCATCTCTCGAACTTTATCTTATTGTGATAGATAAATCGTCAGTCGGTATATTGCTGAATGGCACAGGTACACCGCCGATTGTGTCTGTCTATCACCTTATACAACAGATAAGCCGTGGTTGGTGGCTAGCGGCTGTCTTTTTTGCATTCTTCTTCTTCCACTCGATAATACTAAATTTCTTCTTAGATCTGGTATTTTTAGTTTTTATATACCGTTTTTTCTTTATTTTTCTGGGTTTGTTCTTAGATTTGGGTTTTTAATGTTTATATACTCCTTTTTCTTGAACCAACTTATTATCTGGTGTTTCTTCGTGGGTCTAAAGTGTATCTGCTCTTACATATGTTCTGAAATCTGGATTTTGGAGTTTTTGATAATTTTGCTTAAAAATCCTCTAAAAGTTCATCCATCTGTTTTTTATTTGACTTCACCCTTATTTTAATCTGTAGATTAACATGAATTTTCAATTTTTAGCTTCCAAAATATGTTATTTTTTGAAAACTAAGTTTGCAAATCAAGATTTAGATCTCCAATGTGAATATGTCGAAAATGGTTTTTTTGTAGTGCTAATAAAAATTTTCAAAGATTATTAAAAATTGAAAAACAATCTTCCCATGTACTGTTACATTAGTCAACCAAATTGAATATGTTAGTATGTCTTGCATTTGGTGTTAATATGCAGTTCTTCGTCATGAGATTATGCATTTTAATGTTACACAGTACAAACTCAATTTCTTAAAGAAATGGTTTGCCTGCCTGTTGGATCATATGTATGTATCACCATGCCTTGTTTTCACTGTTTTTATCATGTCATCATGCTCATTTTTATTTTTATCATTTTCAATCCTTGAGTCTGTTGTGTTCAATCCTTGTGTAGTTTGCAATATTGAAAATAATATTGTAGAAAAAAGTATAAAAATTTATTGCAAAGAGGAAGAACAAAAAATAGTGTATCGAAGAGGAAGAATTTTCTAACCTTGGAGGCAGCTTATTAAGTTTCAATTGTTTTCCAATTGAGTTTGAAAATATAATATGGAGTATTTCAGTCTATTTATAGCGTGAATTTTGTAATAGCTACAGTGCATTTACTGCTGCCCATTGCACTGTTTATATAGCTGGACATGTAGGGACGACTCTAGGTGTAATAAATGTTGAGTGGACTTCTATTATTCCAGCGTGCGGCTCCATAAGAGATTTGGTGTAGATTTTGTTTATAAAGTTTCTAACCCAACTTGCAATCAAAGCTACCCTGGATATGCCTAATTAAACAGCCAGCCCAATACAGTCAGCCCAAATTTCAGTGACTCGGCCCAATAAATTTGGGCGGGAACACTGTAGAAAATCACATCTTACCATTGTATATAGTAAGATTCCAATTTTGTACTCCCTCCGTCTCCCTGTATTTGTCCACTTTCATTTTTACACATCATTCAATGCACTTTTTTAATCCATTTTATCTTGTAATTTGTATATTAAAAAATTATATATTAATAATCTATATGTTAAGACAAATCAATCAAAATCACACATGACTATATTTAGGCTTACACGTTGAGAGAATTTGATGAGTCAAAGTGCTTAAATGAACAGTTCTAAAAGTCAAATATGTACAAATATAAGGGGACGGAGGGAGTAAGAAAAATGCCCTACTCCATAGGGTGTTGTTATTGGCGCTCCAATTTTTACTAATGGCGCTCCACCCATCTAATTTTTTTAGATATAGACATTTATACCCCTTCTAGTTGAGTTAGAAGTACTCCACTCTCTCTAAAAAATTCTTGTTCTATTTCTTATGCATATTACTTCTTCTGTCCCTAAATATTTGCCACACTTGTATTTTTGAGGCAAAATATTAAGTTTTTTTAATTCATTTTATTTACGTATTAGTATAGAAATAAAAATTAAAATTTACATATCAATATAATACATGAGAAGTTCTTCGAAATAAGAGGTGTTAAGAATATTTTATTTTATCAAATAACAAATGAAAACGTAAAAATAAACAAAAGTTCTCGCAATCTCGCGAGTGCCGAAAAAGCAAACATTGCAAATAATTTGGAACGGATGGAGTATAAAATACTTCTATTTCATTTAAAACATCTAAAGTACTCCAAAAAAACTTCTCACGTAATAAACAAAAAATATGGTGCATTTTAGGTACAGAGTATTATAGATTTGTATAGAAGTAAAAATTGTAAAATAGAAGTTTAGCGGGTCCAACTAAATTTGTTTTAACTTTTTATAATTATGAAAAATTAATAAATTTATTTTCAAACAAGTATACAAATAAGTAAAATAAAGTAATTTTAAGGTTGAAATATATCATAAACTAATATAATTAATATATTTCAAATGTTTTACCTTTATATTTTATTTAAATTGTCAAAAACTAAGTCAATCAAAAGCTCAAGCTTGTTGTTTCGATCTAGAAAAGTTTTTTTTTAATATTTTAACATGCTCCTCTCGTGCAGACATAGTCTTTTTCGAGTCTTGCACATGAAACTTTAAATTTTTTTTAAGTGGGTGGCAATGAGTTTTGAAATCGCGGCTTCTTGATCATCAAGACACTGATATCATGCAAAAGAACCAACTCAACTAAAAGCTTAAATTTGTAGTTGTGACAATGTAAAGATTTTTTTATTCTAACACAAATAATCATTTTTTATTTTAAACCAGAATCTTTTTGGCACCGGGCATAAATAATATTTTTTATTACGGATGCTCTTTTAATTTATCAAAATATATTTCAAATAATATGAGATTTAAGAAATTATTACAAGAAAATCGATGATATCCCATAGTAATATTGTGAGACAGAAATGTAGAATAGATAACGTACCTAAAATAATAAAGATAAGGAATATAGGACTTCTTATATACTCCAATTGGGAAGGGCATAAATGTCCATGTATGAAAAAAACACAAAGGTGGAGCGCCACTAACCAATAGTGGAGTGCCAATATCAACAACCTACTCCATATTTGTACCCCACTTTTTTTTTTGAAACATATTTGTACCCCACTTTGTATTTCAAAACATTACCCTAACATTAAACATAGATGCAAAACTGGTATTATGCTAGTGTTGTACCTACATTTAGTGTCAAGATAAAGCTTTGTGGTACAAAGTGGGTACAAATATGGGGTACATGTAACATGCTCCATTTTGTAAATCTATTCACATGAAAAAATTATTTTTTTTTTGTTTTTCAATAAAAAAAAAGCATATTTGACTAATAAGAAAATATTACTCAAATTCTTTTAGTTTTGATTTTTGAATCTTTTCCTTTTTGTAACTTGTGTGATTGTTGAATTTGTTGGAGTCTCTATATGGTGGTACTAGAAGTTATAGTCAGGTAGCACTCATTTTGGGTAGAGTAGTACTTATTTTCGTACAAAGTACAAATATTCATTTTGAAGTAAAAAGAGTTTTAATTTTGAAATAACATAGTGTTTATTTTGAATCAATGTAGTGCTTCATGCTGTAAATTAACCACCCGGGCAAATTGTACTAGACCGAGTCTTGGATAGTTTGCTGAGTTTAGAGAATGAAAGGTGCATGAAAATAGAGAGTGACTGGTAGGACTGTATGTGGAAACACTTGTAGTCCAATTGTTATTAAATATGTAGGAGGGTACTCGGATGTAATACACAATATGCTCAAAAGAGATAAAGTTCAGATCCCTTCATTTTAGGGTAACAGAGGTATTTATAATGAAATGGAGGGGACAGAGTGCCGCGGGTGCACATCAGTTCACGTTCTTAGACAACGCGAGGTGACTTCCTCTTGTCCCATATCATTTTGTCTATTCCCTTGTTATCTTGTGCATATGACACCTCGTTTGGCGCGTAGCGACCAGCTGAGGATGTTGGAATATTCTCGTGATCTTTCGTTGAAAATTTGTCACTGCCGTCCAACGGACTTTGGAGTTATTCATGCCAACACTTTCACATCGTAGTATCCAACCCGGTAGATTTTTCTCTCTTTTGTGTTCTGAGGGGCTAGAAGACCACCAGCTTAAAGTCACGTACTATGACCGGTAGGTCTATATTTTGTATTGGCCGACTTTCTCAAACCCGACCGGTAGTCTATTTTTAGTTCAAATCTTCCATTCTGATATATTTGAATCTGATCGGTCAGATGTTGTGGACACGAATTCTAACCGGGTCCTAGGTGGAAAACACTCATCAATAAGTCATCCACTACTCGGCCTTGTAAATTTATCAAGGGCGAGAATGAGGAGATGTACACATTGATTCAGGGTACACATTGATACCCACAACTACATGGATGCAACCAAGAGGGAAGCGGTAGTTCCGAGGAATGACTTTGTATTTTTTAAACTGTAATTGGTTTTTTTAGGTCAGCGATATATAAGCTCCTTCAAGGGTATCTTTACGATTCTTTACCTCATCCCTTTTTTTTGAACCGTCAAGATATTAAATGTAGTCATTTTTGTACTATTCATTTTTCATTATTTAAATAACAACTACATTTTTAGATATTCTAATTGTTAAATATATTAAATATATTTAATATTATTGTATTATGATTTGTTTCCATACTTGTATAGCTTTCCTAGAATACCTCTCCTACCATAACTAGGATTGAGATGTTGTATATATACACATGTACTCTTCACATAATTAATCAATGAAAATACAATTTTTCATGGTATCAGAGCCACACCAAAAACCCTAAAATTTTCTCCCCTTAGTTTTGGCCTCCTCCTTCCTTCGCCACACAGCAGCGCCGCCGCCCCTCCTCTTTCTTCTCTCGGCCGGCAGCTCCTCCTCTACAATGACCGACAGTGAGGTCACATCTCAATCCTCCAGCCCAAAACCTCCACATCTCGCTTTCTCCGTCTCAAATGTCAAACTTCATGTTCCAATTCAACTCAGTTTTTCTCAACCAAACTATAAAAAGTGGAGCTGCTTGTTCCTCCTTCTAGCACGGCGGTTCAATCTCCAACTTGATGCTATTCTCCAAGGATGGATTCTCTCCACCATCACAGATAAGGTGTTTGATCTCGTTCTCTCTTCTCTCTCTACTGCATCTGCCCTCTGGAAGCTGATTCATGATTTGTTTCACGACAATAAGCATGCTCGAGCCATGCAACTCGAGCATCAATTTCGCACCACCGTCAAAGGATCTACCCCCATGGCTGCATATTATCAAGAGCTCGGGAATATTGCGGATTGGTTAGATGACGTTGATGCCCCCGTGTCTGAGCACCAACTAATACTTCAGATGTTGCGCGGCCTTGTTGGGGACTTGTCGTAAGGTCCAAAACAAATTAAAAATTTATAAAATATCCTTAACTAACCCCCAATATATAATCAAATAAAAACTATAGCTAGAGCAAATAAGGGTCGATCCCACGGAGAAATGTTGTACTTTTTAAAACCAATTTAGTATGCAAACACATTGTCACGAAAATAAAAGTAAAACTAAATACTACACAAAAGATAACACTTATAAAACTTATAATATAAACTTATGCTAGTATAACACAAAAGAGGGGGGGGAGGGGGGTTGTTGGATTAAAAGTAAATATTTTTTATTTTTTTATATTTTCTTATTTTTTTGGTTTTTTTTTTTGATAAAATGGAGGAAAACAAGCTCAAAAGATAATCAACTTCTCCAACTAAGGTAACCCAAGAAACACCGCCAAAGACCCAAAACAAAATTAAAAAGCGAACGAACACGAAACGAACATTACACGTATAATAGGCACGTAGACAATATATTATGTAACTTACGCACTTAAGAATAGAAAAGAATTCAAAGGCTCGAGTTGATTCATATCCTTGACCACATATAGAGGATCGTCAACTCTCTATAAGGCCCGGAGTCAAAGATTCAAAGGCCTTTTGGTTACTTTGAACCCCCACTCACCTCAAGCGCTCAAACAATGATTCCAAAAGATGAAAAAGTTTATAAAAGAGCGAATCTTTCTTTCATTCTAACTCCCATGCACAAAGTATTCTTGAAGAACATTTGATACACTTAAATAAACGTTAACGTCTAATGATGAAAATATTTTGCAGGTCTCCTTGAACTACTCAAGCATAAGAATTGTATTCCATTCACATAAGAAAAACATTACATATTTTCATTAAATCAAGAGTTGTTTATTGCGCTTAAACAATCCCAATTTTTATGAAAATAACAAACAA